TTCCCCCTTCACATTTTTCCTGATTAAGCAATACAACTTCAATTTGTTTATTAATCTCAGTTCTTAATTTATATCCATACACATAATTTCCATTACATTTGTTACATTGTTTTATAGTCCACTTGAATGGAAGCAAAATGATTTGGTAAATCAATCTAGACAAACTTTCTCCCCTACCAAGTAAGTGTGGCTTTCGTATGTGAAAGGGTAATACTATTGTTGAGAATTTGAGTTAATAAAGCAAGTGCCAGCTGGAGGGGGAGCGGCTCCGAATAGGCTTTCAATCAACGTGGGGGTTGCTAGTCACTTTTGTATAAAAAGGATTTCCTACGTTGGTTTTTTATCTCTTCTCTTCATCCTTTCTGTTTTGCAAGCATCTCAGGCTTTTCTTGACTACACCCAGTTTTATCTCCTATCAAATCTCTTCCACCCAACCTCAGGGTGGAGGGTTATCTCCATTACAATGAAGTCTTGTTTTGTTGCCTCCAAACTTCCCACTTGCACTAGAAGAGAAACTAATCTAGAGCTTCAAATTCAAGAATAACCACAAAAAATCTACTCCAACAGTTTTTTTTTCTTAAATCAGGCTGTTTTCAAAACCTTTTCTATAAATTTGCTTAGCTTTGTGCTTGCTTATTTCAAGGCTATAAAATCCTCCAGGGCATGCATACAATTTATGATATTCTTAAATTTCCCAAGTTTGCTACTTTCACACAGATTAACCTAAAATTGTTTTCTACATTTAGAAGCGCTGTGCTTCTTAAGACAGAACTTCTACACTTTAAAGAGCAGGAGAAGTTTTTACTATTTCATTTACACTACAAAATTGGAGTCCTGAATTTTCTAGTCTACATTTCTACACACAATCAACCACAATTGTCAACTGATATTTTGAAGGATGTACTAGCTGAGGGTAATTTGCAAGTGTCAGAACTTTTGGACCATAAAAGAGACTCAAGCAGTAAGACTGAAAAACTGTTCACCTAATAGATGGTGGGGGTGCTCACATCCCTGTGTGAGCTGTGAGGAACAAGCAATCTCATGTGTTTTCATGGGTTGCTGCTGGAGTTGAAATGATTTCATCCCCTTAGGAAGTGGTGAGCTGAGAATAGGTAACAAACATATAGATGCACAGATGCTTTTCCCCTTTGGACTAGCAATTCTCCATCTAAGACATGAATCTCCAGACACTTTAAACTTGCAAAAAAATGACTTTCATGATATTCATCAGAACTTTTTGGAACACCCCAAAAACAGTTGAGTAGGGAACTAACTTTAAATGGAATAATGCCTAATTGTAAGAAGAAAATTTTTTAATTGCATTTATAGATATTAAAAAAAATGTTTGGAAGAATAATAAGAAAACAGAGCTTTTTTATTGTTGGAGTGTAGAAACTGGGTGAACATGAAATGAATGAAATGGGTAGTCTGAAAGAGACTTTTCTGTCATTTTGGGTTTTGGATTCATATGAATAGTCTATTAAAATGCAAATAAATTTATTATCACTGTGTGCTACTTAAGAAAATGTTATTCCAATCTAGTGACTTCAAGTCTTCACTTGGTTCACTGTTCACATTTTATTGCAACTGTTGACAGATCCTCCAGAAATAACCTGCTCGATGTCATTCCATTCAAAATAGGCCCAAAGTCACAGGGGACCACCTAGAGGTTAAGCAGGATCACCTAGAAACTAAGAGGTCCTTTACCCACCGCCCACCTCACCCCAGAACGAGCCCTTTCCTAGTTTGCAGTGTCTTGGGTCTGGTATTGCCTTGGTTCTATTAACTAATGATGTTCATGAAAGGCTATAAAAATCCTCTTGCCTGGGAGAGACACATTTCAAGACACACCAAGCTTTGTAAATAATCAGGACCTCTTGCTACATGGAGCAGTCATGCCTGACACCCCAAATAGGGCATTCACTTATCTGTGTCTAGTTCTGCACAGTCCTTGAATTCACTTTGTTTTTATGCAATTTTTTAAAAAGATTTATTTATTTATTTATTCATTCAGAACTGGGGTACAGGCCAGAGATGCGGAGGGTGAAAGGATTCACCATGGACAGAATTGGGGAGCAGAACAGGCAGATAGATGAAGTACACTGCTGAGGGAAGCAGTGGGCGGGTCAGGAGAGGTCTGCCGCGCCACGTGGATCTCCTCCAGGACAGGCGGGGATCGAACTCATGTGGAAGTGACTTAAGCTTCCTATTGCTGTGCTTTAACCCGCTGTGCCACCAGGGAGGGCCTATTCAATTATTTTAATAATCATCATTTCTTGGGGATGTGGGAATGGGGAGATTGATTTGCTCCCCCAAAACTTTTGACAGGAGCTCGTCTAGGTGGTTTATGACCTGCAGACCAGGTTGCTAGTGTAATTCTGAGGCTGGAAGGAGGGTGTCAAAATGGCTGGTCTCTTGTTGAGAAAATGCCAAAATGCCCCTTTGTCTTCCCATAATCCATAGGCATATGATGTTTTAAGGACACCAGAAAACAGCACAAACATCTTGCACTACCAGATGCATAATGAACTACAAGCCAAGATGTAGGCAAAGTTTAGATAACACAGGGTCTTGTAAGCCAAAATAAGGCGTCTGGTTAAGTTGGAAGAAAAGCCATGGAGAATTTGGGAGGGGGGGAATGCCCTTTTAAAAGGATTTTTATGGTTTTCCTCACTGAGTCTTCAATAACAAGAAACCTTAGAGGGCAAGAATAGTCTGGAGTCCCTCCTTCATAAACCCTAGGAGGGCAGCAATATTAAATTTTAGTCCTGTAGTGGATCAAAATAAAACTGTATTCAAGAAATATTTAATGAATTCCTCAGACATTATTCTAAGACTTGATAAAGTCTTAGGCCATAGCCCTAGCTCACTTAAATCCTCACTATAGTCCCTAATAAAGTATTAGCTTCACATTACAGGCAGAGAACTAAAGCACAAAGCTGACACATTCATGTTTTCATAGCTAATAAGTGCCTGAGTCAATATTCAAACCCACACCATCGAGCTGGTGCCAATATCTTATAAATTAACAGGTTCATACTACCTACTGCCTATGTTAAAAAGAAAATAACCCTGCCTTGCTTGATTTACATTTTAGTAGGCAAGAAGAAAATGAGCAGCTAACACTGTCAGCGAGGGATGTAAATACCATGAAGAAAAATAGTTGAAGCAGAAACAGTGGAGTAGGTGAGGATCTCTCTAGAAATGAAACTGAACCACTAGAGAGAAGTGAGCAGAAACAGTAGAAAATCTTAAGATATCCAGGCAGAGAATGAAAACCCTTAAGTGGTAACTATTGGGGGTGACCAAGTGCAGAGATTTACTGAGGGACTGGATAAGGGCAGCAATAAATTAGGCTTGCATCCAAGGGTGATAAGAGGATAATAAACTGGGCTTTGCATCCAATTAACTGGGCCTTGCATCCCGAATGGGACTAGAAGGTGATAAAGAACTGGGCCTTACATCAAGGGACACAGCGATGAGTCACCCTTTTGGAATCTGAGTTTAGAATCTATGTAAGAGACCCTTCCCCCCTATAGGGCTGGCAGTAGGTAGCTGTGGACCCCACTCTAGGGGAGTCTGGTTAAACTGGCTGGATTAAAAACTATGGCAAATTCTGGGTCCTTCTAAAGGATACCATGTGATTAATGTTTTGAAAAATAATTCTAAATAAAGAACAGACTATGAAATAAGCTAAAAATCATTGAGAACTGTTATGAGTTTCTGTCACCCTGGCAAGTGAGGATGGGGCTGGACTAGGTGTAGGCACAGAAAGTCTTGCTCATGGATCTCATGTGGATGGCGAGAGGTCCAAGGTGGCTCCTGTTTTTGGCCCGAATGAGTAAAAATGGTGTCATTCCTTTACTGACAGTGAGGGGAGAGTTGTCTGATGTAACTGCCACATTTGTCTCCTACACCAAACAGCTTATCATTAGTTTTCTCTCCCATTATTGATCACTGTCTCTAAGAAATAGTCAACACATTTTACTTTGTATGATGCCTGTTCTAAGTACCCTACATATACTAAGAGTTAAATCTTACAATTTAATAGAGTCAGATGCTATTACCTCCAATTTAGAGACTAAGGGCATTGAACAAACTCAACTAACACAGTCAGAAATCTACCTAAGTGGAAGTCATTCTACTTTGTGAACTGCCAGCTAGCCTGTGTTAGGGAATACTCTCTCCATTCAGATGGTTCCTCAGCTATCAGGAGTGAGCTCTGACTTACTATAGTAATGCCTTCATCTAACTCAATACACTTACCCTTAATGGAGCAATTTTGTAAAGGCGTGGACCCCTTCAAAGGGTCTCTCTTTCATATGCCTGTTTGTAAGGGTGAATTTTCTTCAAACTCCAACCTAAATAGTTTATGTTGAATATAAATGAGAATGGAGCTATCAGGAAATAGCTGAATAATACTCTTTAAAGTTTTAAAGTTTTAGCTACAATTAAACATAGAGATCAAAATATTCAATCATCTGCTGCTTTTATAAAGAGATTCATGCAAAAAGACACACAGTTCATACTCTAACAAAAGGAAAGCAAATCCATCAGACATGGATATAAAATTGCTACAGAGCTGATGATTCTCTATTTTGTTTCAGAAGCTCTTTGCATTGCATTGCATTCATATTATGTTAACCAATAAGAGCCCAATGCAGGTCAGCTCCCGCCCCTAGGTTGATTTTTTTGTTACCTTTAAGTTTGGCTCCTAATTTTTTTTTTTTTTACTTTGGACCTCTTTCTAGCTTGGGAGTTAAGGTCAAGTAGCAATATATCGACCACAGTTCAAGGGGCTATATATTTAAAATGTTATTCTTTATTTCGCAAATTTGGGGGGAAAGTCACATCAGGACTCAGAGGCAAAGGCAGGGAACCCAAAATGCCTAGTTTTTCCTTATCAGGCTGGAGCAGAGTTTAAACCAGACTAGAGCCACTCCCGCTCTGGCCTGTTAATTCTTTACATCCTGGTCCCACAGCTTCATTACAAAACAGCTTCATTTCATCTCAGGGCCTAGTCCGAGAGCATTCATGGCTTCCTCAAGTTTGATTATTCCTACAGGAAAAGGAACAACTATGGGTATACAGTGAGGGGTCAGGGGGAAAACTTGTGAGTTCTCAGTCTTTTTCAAGGTTTGTTTTGGGGACTTCCCCAATCAAAGATTCTGAGGGTGAGACTCTTCGGGGATCTCAAAATGTGGGCTCATTCCCAACATCCTACTCTGCAATTGCGGAGGGGAAAAGAGGGAAGAACTGGGTCACAACCTTGGAAAATCCTGCCCTATAAAGCTAGCCCCAGGCGCCTCCCATTGCGTCTTACTGCAGCGTTCTTTGAAGAGCGGACGCTACTACTGAAGAGGTCTCCGGAAAACCCAGACACAGACGGCCAGTTCAGGTGATGGTCGCAAGGTGGGAAGGGAAAAGTGAGAAGGGATAGAAGAGAGGAAATAAGGCCGTCCTCTTGGGCCCCAGTTTTTGCAGCACCTCATCCGGTACTGGGTCACTCACCTCGTTCCTGTCGCTGGCGGTGCCACTCGGCCAGGGACTGAAGCATCCACCTGGAACGAAGCTTGTACAAGTAAGAGCCATAAACCACCACTTCAGTGAGGTCGGAGGATTCCAGAACATTCAGCTCGAGCATGGCCTTACACACTTTCTCAAAATTTGGGATTCCAGATCCATGTGGGCCTGTCAGGAAAAAAAAAAAAAACAGATGAGCGTCTGGCCCTCAGACGCCGAACACCAGATCCCGGGCGCCCAAGTCGGGGCTCACTCACCAAATATGGCTTCCAGCAATCGCGTCTGGACCTGGAACACCTCAGGATCTTTCAAATCTTCAGGAACTTTTACCCACGGCGGGATATCTTTCCGCGCTGGCAGCGTTCCCATATTGAGTGCCTCAAAAGCAACCACGTTCCCCCTCAGGTTAGTCCTTAACTGTGCAGCAAGACAGAGGTGCGCGTGGAAAGTCTACCACCTGGCCGGCCCCGCCCCCAGCCGACTCCGCCCCCAGGCTGGTGGCCCAATCCCGCTCACAGCTCTCGACTGACCCGCCTACTCGTGCTTAGGTCTCCGGGTTACCACCTACCAGGGTTTTACCTCTACCCGGTACTGGTGGGCCCAGCTGTCTATGTGTTTGCAAGGATTGCCACCTGCGTTGATCAGTTCTTCGAAACCGGCACCGGAATGTCTTGGCTTGTGAGTGGGTGGGGCCAGAGCCCTGTTGACTCATCCCCTAGGCACAGGTAGTTGGATCTTAAAGGGAGAATAATCCAATTTGAGGGTGTAGGAGCCGTCTCAGCTGTCCCGTGGAGTTCCTGCCTACCACTTTGCAAAGAAGGAGCCGTTCCTCTAGGCCAAAGGGAACCAAACCTAGTAGCTTCATTTTGTGGGCCACCTCTGTAACTTCTGGGGAGTCAGGAGTAAGTCCTGTCATTTAACAAAGAGGAAAAGAAAAGCGAGACAAGGGAGATTCAGAAATGTGTTATCTTGGAGGCAACGTTATAGAGGTGCTAAAGTGCCTACAACGTTTGGAACTTTGAATCTACCTTGATGTGGACATTCACATGTCACTTGCCTGATAATTCCAGCCCAAACTGTGTGGTTTCTGGCTCGAAATAAATTTGTTGTATTCATTTAAAAACCTTGTTGCTAGCGTGGCAGACCTCTCCTGACCCTCCTGCTGCTCCCCTCAGCGGTGTGTTTCTGTACATCTGCCTGTTCTGCTCCCCACTCTGTGGTGAATCCTCTCACCTCCTACTCCTCACACACACCTCTGGACTGTACCCCAGTTCTTGTAGTCATAAATAAATCTTTAAAAAAAAATGATGCACTAGATTACCTCATGAGGACGTGATTTCAATGTTTTCTACTTCTATGGCTTTCTCCAGATTTTTAAAAATCTCCTCCATTGATCTTTTTCATATTTCTATGTTTACTATAACGCTTCATAAAGATGAAGCTGCCTTTCCCTACGAGGACTAGCCCTGTAACATGGAATATACTGGACCTGGCTAGAATGCTAATTCTTTGGCTAGACCTCTTGCATTTTATCAAAACCCATAGGTGCTGTTGCAACCACCAGTGTAATCAATTTACATAATGATTAGCTAAAACTATCAAATGAGAAGTTACTAAGGAATTGACTAGTCATAAGATGTAGAAGAATTAGCTCACAGATTATGAATTACAAGGAGAAAATGTTCCTTTACAATAGAGAGTTGGAAGACAGATTCCTTGTAATCAGGCGCCAAATCAGCATCAATAACTGTTCAGTATCTTGCTTATATCAATGGTGATAGCCTCTTTGTGATAATGTACTACAGTTTTGTCATCAGGAAAAGATGTTACCAGTGAAAGAAACATGAAAATTCTGTATTATTTCTCACAACTGCACATGAATCTACTGTTCTCTCAAAATAAAAGTTTAAAAATGAAATCAATTTTTTAAAGATTTATTTGTGCATACAGAACTGGGGTACAGGCCAGAGGTACAGGGGCGGCGAGAGGATTCACCAGAGACAGAGTGGGGGAGCAGAATAGGTTGATCAAAGAAGTACACTGCTGGGGGGAGCAGCGGGCCGGCCAGGAGAGGTCTGCCACGCCATGTGGATCACCTCCGGGGTGGAAACTGAATTCATGCTGAAGTGGCTTTAGCTTCTTAGTGCTGTGCTTTAACCCACTGTGCCACCAGAGAGGGCCTGAAGTCAATTTTTAAAGATGCAAATCAGTATAAATTTTTTAAATAACCCACTTGCTCCATTTAATTATCTAAATGACTCATTGTTTAAGGCTGTTACTTTACTATTTATGAATATATTGTATTTTTGTGTCTAACTGAATTTTTTCTAAGTTTTGTGCCCTTTCCCATAGTTCAGAATGTCTAGTTTTTTCACCAAAGGCACCACTGCAATTCAAGTGTCTGGCTTTCTAAATTGAAGCCATTGTAAAAGTAATCATTGCTTTATAATGTGCCTTAAAATTTGGAGCCTTACAATTGGTCTCATTTAGAATGTTTTTGTTTCTTTCCACTGTATCAGGTATCACCTGGAAATGTCAGGTCATTGCTGATTGTTCCTCTTCCTCCCCACCCCCCAGAACAACCACTGATGATTGTTCAAGAATTCTACTATCATCTTCCGTATGCAAAAAAGCAATATGAGATCATGTGTTTCCCACTGGGAAAACAAAAAAAAAATTCTCTCAGGAGAAGTCAAGCATCTGACAGTACTGGGTACTTGGTTAGGACAAAAGTCCCAGCTCCCCCTAAAGTTCCTTCAGCTTATGCCCATGACCTCACTCCAACCTAACAATAACCTTCCTTATAGAAGAAAGCTAAGCCCTTTACTCATTTATTAAAAACTTAGTATCAACAATATGACAGACATTTTGCTAGATGCTAGATCTCCTGAGAGACAATCTCTGTACTCAAGAAGGAAGGAAAAACAAAACAGGCAATTGAATTTGATTTCACAAACACTAGGATCAAAAGAAGAACATCATTCTAGGCAAGGGGTGTATTAGTCAGGGCTCTCCACACAGAACCAGAAGCATACATGCATACACATGCATACATGCACACATATACATATGAAGAGATTTATTTCAAGAAATTGACTTACAAGACTATGATCTAGCAAGAGATGATAAAAAATTTTGAGTTACAGAACATTGTGAATGCATTTAATGTCACAGAATTGTAAACTTATAAGTGGTTGAAAACACTAGGACAGGAGTTGATGTGACAGAATTCCTTCTTCCCCAGGGTATCTGCTCTTCTTCCCCTCCCCCCACCCCAGCCCCCACCCCCTGCCTTTTAAAAAAAATTTTATGTTGGGCCTCCCTGGTGGCACAGGGGTTAAAGACACAGTATTATCAAACTGTGGCCAGCCACTGCAGCATGAGTAGGATCCCCGCCAGGGAGCTGACCCACATGGCACAGCAGACCTCTCCTGACCCCACCCCCACCCCCCCACTGCTCCCCTCAGCAGTGTACTTCAATAATCTGCCTGTTCTTCTCCCCACTCTGACTCTGGTGAATCCTCTCACCACCCCTGCACCTCAGGTCTGTATCCCAGTTCTGTATGCACAAATAAATAAATATTAAAAAAAAAAAAGCTATGATTGATATTAGATCAGCTTTTAAAAAAAAAAATTCAGTTTTCTTCTTACAGCCTTGTAACTGATTGGATGATGCCTACTCACATTATTGAAGATAATCTCATTTACTTAAATCAGATGATTGTAAATACAAACCACAACAGCAACAACTGCATAAGTATTTGGATATATACTAGCCATGTTAACTTATAAAACCAACCATGGCCGAGGTATCTTGTAAAGTCCATAAATGTAAGCTGAAACCTGGAAGATACACAGGAATTTCCTTAACTTTCTTCCTCCTGAAAGGAACACATCTCCCTATTCACATCCAAAGTCCCACCACACACTAGAGTATGCATCTGCATTTCAACAGATTCACTCCTTACATCTGCACTATACAATATAGAAGCCACTAGCTAGACTGTTGGGAACCCAAAATGTGTTTAATCTGCATTGTGCTCTAAGTACAAACTATACAGAAGATTTTGATGAATTTTAATACCAAAAGAAAGTAAAATATGTCATTAATAATTTATACTGATTAAATTACAAAATAATAAAAATTCTGTATATTGTTAAATAAATCAGAATTCATTGCAACACAATTTACCCCACTATGGCTAAGAGAAAAAATTGTAATTGTAGTTTCACATTATACTGTAATTGGTCAGAGTAGACATACAAGACATATAAGTGTATATAAGACATACAGTGCAACATCCTTTTTAAAAGTTTCTTATTCTGTTTGTATGTTTGCACTTGTTTTCTTTTGCTCCTCTTTTACTCCCCTGATTTTTTTTGCTTTTCTTAGTCTCCTTTTCCCTGTATTTCTTTTCTCTGCCTGTACCTTAAATGCTGGTGATTCTGAGTCTCTCCTTTAATCCTTCCCCTTTACTACCATTTGTCATTCTCCCAAAGTAATTTTTTTTTCCACACCGATGATTTAAACTATCTTCCCACATTACAATTCTCAAACCTTTATTCCAGAATCACCATGTGCTTAACTGATGCCCACTACATGCTTACATCTTCTTATCCTTGAAACTTTTGAAAGTCAGCATGTCCCAGAGCAAACTTATTAGCTCCTTCCTCCCCTTTGGCTTCTCCTATTTTGTTTTCTAAAATATATGCCAGCACTTCCTCAAAACATTTCTAACAGGGCCTCCCTGGTGGTGCAGGGATTAAAGTCTCAGCGCTATCAAGCTACAGACAGCCACTACAGCAAAACCTCCATCCCCTGCTGCCCAGGAAGGTGACCCACATGGCCTAGCAAACCTCTCCTGTATTGCCCACTGCTCCCCTCAGCAGTGCATTTCAGTAGATCACCTGTTCTGCTCCTCATTTAGTCCTCATTTGGTGAATCTTTTCAAATCACTCCCATCTACCCCAGTTCCCTTATGTATAAATAAATAAAAATAAACTCTTAAAAAATTTCAACAGTTGACTTTTATCTATTCTATACATCACCTCCAAGTTCTAAGATTTTTGTCTATTCTATACATCACCTCCAAGTTCTAAGATTCTTGTCAGTTCTAAGATTTGTGAACTCATTCACAAATCTATCTCCCTTCCAGATCCAGTTCCTGGGTTCAAGTTCAAATCTGTGTACAGTTAAGTATCAGCAGACATTACTGTATGTAACATAGTGAACAGTGAAGTCTTATCATGTCCCACACTTGACCTGGAACATTATAAGCAAATAGAACATCTGTAGAAGTGATCTAAATTTTACCCATGGCTACCTTGAAAGAGTAAGTATAGGACAAGGACTTAACTTTTTACTTAGTATACTAATGGGTTTTTTTTAAATAATAACTGTTTTGTGATACTTCTTTGAAAACTAGTTTTAGGAACATTAGGGATGAATGCTGGAATGTATGGAAATAAACTAAAATAAAAAGTTGAAATAGAGTGTAAGACAAAATTATTTTCTACTACCATTTGAGTTTCCTATCAGAGTTAATCTATTCCTACCTTATTTTAATTCAGTCCAGAATTTTTCTAAACACATACATAGATGAATCAGTAATACTGCCTCTTAATTTATATGTTCAATAACATAACATTAATTCTCCTAGATTATTGTACAACTTGATTTCCTCTTTAACAGAATTAAAATTAATGCACTTTACAATACTCAGGACAGGCCACTAAAGTTGGAATTCATTGTCTACTGCCACTAAGTATCTCTTACCTGCAAAAAGTCTAGGTATATAGATATTCCAGAATATTCTCAGAATCATTAAAATAGTGAAAAATTAGAGCATATGCAAATGTTCTTCAATGGATATAGGGACAGGCAATTTTTTAAAGAATGTAATAGTTAGATATATTTAAAAAAATGTACAGTATATGTTGAGTAAAAAGTTCCTCTATACAAATCTGTGTAGCATATGATTGGGGAACTAAGGAAAAGGTTTGTGTTTTCTCAAAATCTTGTTTGAATCTTGTTTGAGCTGAAAGCCGTGAACAAGTCAACATGCTGTGAACAAGTCAACAAATTGTAAAGCCTGATTAGATTTAATTTCAAGGAAACATAATTTTTCCACTGGCTTAAAAGTCATAGAAATCTGTAACCTAAAGAGGTGAATTCAGTATCATGTCCAAAACTTGTCCAACCCACTGACGTTTTACTAAAGGACATTGCTCATGATTGCCACCTGAGTGAGTGGAAGAGGGACAATGTGCTCATTCTTCCATTTAACAGTGACACACATTCTGTGTGTCAAAGGTGGTTGCAGATGCAGGGAATTCAGCAATGTGTGTTTTATAAAAAATGATGTCTTGGTGCTCATAGTCTAGGGATAGTAGTGGTAGTGATAGGAAGAACGGATACAAACAATATTAATGAGTAAAATTCAGAGCTGGTTAGGTAAGGAAAGATGAAGTTGTGATTTCAAATTGGGAAACTATGGAAGGTTTTACTGAGAATCAAGTGACATTTAATCAAGAGATCAGTGGTGACAGGGAGATTGGAAGGAGAGCAAGCTACAGTCATTTATGAAGAGGGGACAGTGAATGTAAACCTGCTGAAATTAGAGCATGGAGATATTGTCTAAGCAACAGCAGAGAACACTGATTAGAGAGAAGTGGGAAGGAGATCAAGAAAATGTAGGGCAGGGCCCTTCCTGGTGGCACAACTGGTTAAAGCACAGCACTGTGAAACTACCTGCAGCTACTGCATCAGGAGTTCAATTCCTTGGCCAGGAAGCTGACACACATGGCTTAGCAGACCTCTCCGGTCTCACCCACTGCTCCCCTCAGCAGTGTATTTCAGTAGATCCGCCTGTTCTGCTCCCCACTCTGTCTCAGGTGAATCTTCTCACCCCCCTGCCATCTCTGGCCTGTACCCCAGTTCTTGTGTGCATAAATAAATTTATTTTAAAAAAAGGAAAATGTGGGAGGAGAAAAAAAAGGAGGAGGTTCCAATTCAGTCTAGAACCCTACAATAAGTTTGCAGGGTTTATACCCAGAGAAAGAGAGAAAGCTACTCATGTTTTGAGTGACACACTTTAAAATTTACCTTTAATAGAGGTTCTCTGTACCTGCTGTTTTGAGAAGAGACTGAAGGCAGATGGGAGCAGATAGGAAGCTCAAGGTTTAGGCTAAAAATCCTGAAGGAAAGTATTGCCACCAACTGAGAAGACTACAGGACTATGGTGTGTTGGGTGATGGGTACTTTTGATGAATTTTTAGATGGAAGAGTGAGGGGGTGGGTATGGGAGGCTAGGATTAGGATTGGGAATCCGGAATAGTGCAGAGATGTTATTTAAATCTAGGGGGTTGCCAAATACATAGGGAATACATAAGCAGTATTTGTTGGGATAGACAGTTGGGAGTCAGTCCTGAGAATTCACCTACTCTCCTACTCCTTGCTTTGTTGCCTGGGGTTGAGAGAAGGGTGAGGATGGTGGGGAGTGCCACACTCACTCGCTCTGCCTGGCTCCCTGGCTCACTCAAAAAGCTAACAGTGTGCCCCAGAAATCCTGACATTGGATTTTGAAGGAAGATAACTCTCAGTCTCCAGCCCTGTTACCAGTTGACATCTCACCCGCGGGAGCCCAAGCCAAGCTGTTGTCTGGGGCGTTGAGAATGTGAGCCAGTGTCCTCTCCTGAGTAATTCACCCATACCCCCTGGGCAAAGTTGTGTTCTTACTCCTCTAGCAGCCTGAAATCCTGCTGCAAGTGCAGGGTTGCTACAGTGCAAGCATAGGAATAAACAGGGGGCTTCTTAAAAAAATGCTTTGACTATTGTTCTGTGCGAGCTCAGAGTTCACATCCCCAACAAGGTGGTAGAAAATCATACTCTAGCCCTAGGCGGAGCTGGACATGTGGGGGCAACTGACCCGAAGCTCCTGGCCACCTCTCCTTTCAGGGGTTCTTATTATTGGGGCTTTGGGGGAGGGAGCCTTAATGATAAAGTCCAAACCCTCCGACCCTGAATGAGGAAGATGCCAGCCTCAACTGGGCAACTCCTTGCAAACTAAGGAGTTACACACTCGCCCTTCTTTTATTTAGCCTGTAAATAAGTCATTCTAAAACTTTTCCCTCTGCCCCACCCCATCTTAAGGAAATGTAATAATATATGTTTACTAACCTAAGGAAATTTGTAGAGTATAGGGTGATTCCTGGAAAGGTACTTTATCTACTTGGAAGGTACCCTTAGCAAGAGAAATAAGACTGCTCAGTCCTTATGCTGGATGTGGGAGACCACCTGAGCCTCTCCTGAACCTTCTGTTTATCTCAGGTGCGCCTGGGAAAAACCAATTTTCTTTCCTCAACAACATGTTGAGTTTATCATCCTCCTCTTCAGCCAGCCTCCCTTTTACCCTCCTCTTCATCACTTCATGCCCTACAGATGCCTGTTTTGCCAATGGCTACTTCTAGGATAGGTTTGCATTTCTTAAAATGGCTCCTTCTCCAATATGTTCCATATCCTTTTGCAGAAGGGGTTTTTGTTACTGGAATATGGAAGCATAAAATTTGTGTTGGTTAGAGTCAATATCTGGAAGGTTAAAACCTTGAAGACTCATTTTACTTCAATAAATCATTTTGAGAAAATCTTTACAAGAAAAAAATTAAAGGTCATGCTGCTATAGGACTGTATTGAAGGAGTATTATCCTAGATGCTCTTCGCATCATTTCACATGCTCTGCTTCCCAGCATACCCCTGTATTTCCCACCAATTATGGCTTTTGAAGAAGGACTAGTAACAGGCATATACATTTGTTTTTTCCAAAAGTAAGTTTCAATGTTTTTCTCAATAAAATCCTAGAAAAATGCTGGTGGGCACATAAGTTAAGTCAATGTCAGTGAGCCAGGCAGGTTTGAGAGGAAAGGAGCAACATTAAAGTACAAATCAAGAGAGCAGCTGCCACTGCTAGCCCCCATGTCTCTCTACAAGTCTCTCCTGTGTGTGTCTTTGCCAAATTGCCCCAAGACCCTGGTGCAAATTCAAAGTTGCAAAGCAAATTCACCCTTCTCCACCTGCCTCTTCTGTGTCTCTCAGAGCCCCCCTGACTTGAATGCTATATAGCTTCACTTGGCTGCTCTGTTCCACCCCATTAAGTGGGGTGGGGAGTCATGGTTCCTCCCTCTTTTATGGAGATGTTTTTGTTACACCTCCACAAACTTTAGAGAGGATAATTATAGAGATGGAGACCAGACTCTTGGGTTTCCCCTAAGCTCTCTCAGGAGTGTTCTGCATACCCATGGCAATTTATAACTCCATCCTGTGTAACTTTGAGTGGATTTTGCTTTTCTTTGGGTTCTTAATTAATTTTCTACTTAGGTGTCAACACTTTTGATCTTATCAGACACCTGCACTTCTTTGGCTTACAGAACTTCTACAGGGATACAAGACTGTGCAAAATGAAGTCGCAGGGCTCTCTCCCCACTGCTAGCTCTGAGCACAATACTCAAACTACAGAGAGTTAGATAGCTTTACCATTCTGAGTGAGTGAGTAAGTAATGCTTTAAGCTGAACACAAAAATCCAAAAATGGAAGCACTGTTGTGTTATCTGCAGAATGAAGGCATCAAAGATGTTTCAAGGATTGCTCTCTACTGTTTGAACCACGTCCACCAAACACTGTTGGGTGTGCTCAATTGTCTCACTAAAGAAGAAGCTGGGAAGTGGTGACCTCTGCAGAAGGAATTCAATGATCATGGTTCAGGAGGGAGTAGGAGACTTACTGAAGTCCTTGGAAACTTTGTTTTTACTCCTCGCAATTTTGTTTTTTGATGTATTTAATTGCAACTTCCATTGAAATGGCATTTCCTGTTGGATCTTGCTGCCTCTGTGGGACCAGTCTCACTTCCCTGAGTTCTTCCCCATTTTCCCAGTGGAAGCTCAAGTGGGAACCTCTGCCTCTCCCTCCCACAGTGGGTGCAGGGAAAGACTGCTGGAGAGAGGCCTTGGACCCAAAGGGCTTGCGTGATTTCTGCAATAATCTCAGGCTGCCTGGAGTGGGTGGTGAAACCATGAAGCCAATAAGAAAGGGGCAGATGGGGTGGAGCTTGTCAAAGCCCTTGAAATAGGCCCAGGCCAGGGCGCAGCTGCCACAACCGGTGGAGACCTGCTGGTTTGCAATTGTGTTGCCTTGTCCATGGAGGAAGTAGTATGGCTACCCCCAAGCAGTTTCCCACGCTCATACAGCTGGAGCAGCGAGAAGGCGCCGTATTCCAAGTACTAGGCAACCTCCACAAGAAGCCCTACTGGTTCCACTTCGAGTACCTGAAGAGTCCCAAAGAAGTTCACCTCGAGGCATGGCTGGTGGAAGCGATCTTCGGTGAAAACCTAAGGAGGGTGGATGTTGTAACCCCATCTCCCCCTCCCGGGCTGGCAGCTTCTCTGTGGCCCTGACCCCCTCCGCCCTCCCTTCACCTCCCTTCCTTCCCAAGACTTACACCTCCCTTTTCTGCTCCCTGAATAGGTCCAGGTGGAGAACACATCCCACATGTGGAGTGGGTGTCCCAGACCCTACTTCATATTAATCAGTGGGAACCCGAAGGAGAGGCCGAAATCCTGATATTTGGTCGACCTTATTACCAGAAGGATGTATCCAAGATGATCATGAACTTGGCGGACTATCACCGCCAACTACGGGTGCAAAGTAAGGGGTGGGGATTGGTGAGGGGTCCTCTGTTCCTGGGAGAGGTATCAACGTTTCCTGGCTGACTAGCAGTTTCATCCTCTGGGTTGCTCTGGAGAGTGTTTCCAGTTTGCCTGGGATCTGGAAGGTTGAACTGACCTTCTACCATCACATTCTCCGCCCCCCCCACACACACACACCCAGGTGGTATGAATGAGTCCCATGTGGTGACAGTATGGGAACACAGGTGCAGTCAACTCACAATGCCCTTTGTTCCAGGATCAGAGAAGGCTTCTGGCCAGGAGGCCGGAACTCGTTCTCCCGATGTTACCACGCAGGCGGCAACCCAGCGATCCCCCAAGTCTGCCGGGGAGGAAACGATCCAGGGCTCTCCGCAGGCTTCTCTTGAGGCAGCAACCCACGGCTCCCCAAAGGCTGCCCAAAACCTGGTTATTGGGTTATAAAGGAATTTCTAGACCAGGAATGAGATCAAAGCAAGGGTTAAGGTGGAAGAGCCCTATTTTTCTAGTTTCTACTTCTACCACAGAAGCTGGGGAAAGAATGGGGTGAGTTGTTTGGGGTTCTTCCCTCCCATGTTAAATGTTTGCAAACAGAACCTAGAGTTCTAATAAAGGATCAAATTTCCTTAATGTCTGTTAACTAGCAGGTAGAAGGGGAGAGCACAATCCTCCAGTAGCCAAGATCTGCTCTACATTTCTTTTACCTGGAGGCAGGTGAGGTCTCTTGAATTTCTGGTCAACAAAGGCTTCCTTTTGTGCTGCTTAACCACACCATCTGGGTTTGCCAGGGAGGCCCATGGAATCCATCCTAACTGGGAAACCTCTCCAAGCTGTGTTGTTTCTACTCAACGTGACATAGGATGCAAAACCTGGTTCAGACCTGGGCCAGGTCCAGCCACCTGTGGTGGCTAGGTGCACTGTGGTTGTAGCAACTTGCCAGTAGTGGCAAAAGGGGGTAGGGTTGGGATGGAAGAAAGGAATAGGGTTGCTAGGCTGACTTTGGATTGTTAGCACATGTCGCCACACCTTCAGTGAAGTTTGAGAAAGATATAAGCATTGCTGATAATCATAGTAACCACAGCAGGGAGGAACTGACACTGGCTTGACATATAGTATTGTGTATGTAGAACATATTAGCTTCATATGCTTATATTGTAACATTGCCATTGGAGTGATATTTGACACCTCTATCATTTGACTTTACGATCTAAGTGACTGGGACCTCCCAAGACCCAGTTTAAAAAAAGAAGCAAACTGTTAATAGCTGGTTGCTAGAATTAAAAAAAAAAAAAAAGGCAAAAAGCACACTTTAATCTTCATTTTAGTGTTATAAAAACCTTCCTCTAAAAAATATCAAGAAAAGGTAGCTTTAAAGCCCTGGGCAGTGAGTAGTATCTGCACTGTAGGGAAACAAAAAAATCAAACACTTGTCTTTGGAAGGCCGTTATTTCCTGAGAGGATCTCTGAAGACTTAGAGGAAGTTGCTTTTGATATTTAAATCTAAATTTCTCTCTGCATGAATCTTTTCCTGAAACCCTAAGGCCCTTAAGCTCATTTCAACACAGAAGGCACAGGCACCTTTGTTTTCCCCTTAAATGCTCTCACTCTCCCCAAACTCCCTTGTCCTGGCTATCAAAGATGGCATCTAAGTGTAAAGCTGGTCCCCAGGGAAAGGACAGGTTCCAGGTTCCCTGTGTTACCCAAGGAAGAATGGAGATGAGCAGGGAAGAGAAGAAGCTGGAGGAGGAAACTGGACAAAGCAGGATGGAGACCTAGGAGAACCCGAGGAGGCACATGGAGCAGAGAGACATGTGAAGCTGTACTGCTTTACTTATTTTTCTATTTGTGCATACAAGAGCGGGGTATAGGCCAGAGGTATGGGGGTGGTATGGTGAGAGGATTCACCAGTGACAGAGTGGGTAGGTCTATGAAGTATACTGCTGAGGGGAGCAGCAGGGGGAGACAGCAGAGGTCTGCTGCACCATGTGGGTCACCTCCCTGGCTGGGACCCAACTCATGCTGCAGCGGCAGCAGATAGCTTCCTAGGCCTGATCAGCATTTAACCCCCTGTGCCACCACAGATGCCCAATTTCCAACTTTTTAAGGAATCTTCATACCGTTGCTATAGGTACTGCACCAAATTACATTCCTACCAACAAATTGTTCCTTTTTCTCTACATCCTCACCAACATTTGTTGCTTTCATTCTTTTTTGATAATAGACCATTCTAATGAGGATGATACCGTGCTGTGATTTTGATTTCATAAAAGTGATGTTAGACAATTTTTATGTGCTATGAATGTAATCCTTAGAAAATTAAGTCTTTTGCCCATTTATTGATTAGGTTGTCATTCTGCTGTTGAATGAGTACTTTTTAAATATATATTGGATATTAACACCAGATGTCAGATGCTAACAAATATCTTCTCCCAATTTTTCAATTTCCTTTGTTTTTTTGTGATGGTTTCTTTTGAAGTGCAAAATCTTTTTAGTTTGATTAGTCCTACTTGTTTATTTTTCCTTTTGTTTCCCTTGCTTTTGGTGTTGTGTCCCTAAATACATTTTTGCTATAGATGTCCTATACTATATCCTATGTTTTCTTCTAAATATTTTATGGTCTCAGTTCTTATATCTTAATCTTTATTTTTTTTTCAATACCTGAATCTCTCAAAAAGAGAACTTCATAGATTTTATTTTTATATATTTATTTTTATATGTATTTTTATATCTGTGCGTATATATAATAAGTTTATTTTTACATCATTTTGTGCATTTTTCCATCTCAGTTGTAATTCCCTTGGGCTTCCCATTACCAAATCACCCTACTTCATTTTTTAAAAGACTATTTATGTAAACAAGAACTGGTTGTAGGTCTGAGGTGTAGTGGGTGAGAGGATTCACCAAAGACACAGTGGGAAGCAGAACAGACAGATTCACTGAAATACACTGCTGAAATACACTGCTGAGGGGGGCAGTAGGGGAGACAGGCGATATCTGCTGTTGTGACATATGGGTCAGCTCCCTGACCGGCTGGGGACTGAACTCGTGCTGCCACTGCTTGATAGCACTGCCTTCAACCCCTGTGCCACCAGGAGGCCCTCTTTATTCCATTTTGAATTAATTTGTGTATGGGCATAAGTTATGTATCTAGCTTCATTTTTGAGTACAAGGCTGGCCATATTTCCTAACACCATTTCTTAGAGTCTTTTTTTTTTTTAAAGATTTATTTATTCATATGGAACTAGGGTACAGGCCAGAGATGTGGAGGGTGAGAGGATTCACCAGAGGCAGAGAGGGTAGCAGAACAGGCAGAGTGATGAAGTACACTGCTGAGGGGAGCAGCCCGCGGGTCAGGAGAGGTCTGCCGCACCATGTGGATCACCTCCGGGGCAGGCAGGCAGGATTCAAACTCATGCAGTAGTGGCTTTAGCTTCTTAGTGCTGTGCTTTAACCCACTGCGCCACCAGGGAGGGCCCTCTTAGAGCCTTTTTTTTTCTCCATTGTATGGCTATGGCTCCTTTATCAAAGATTAAATGTCCATCTGTATGGGTTACTTCTAGACTTTCTATTCTATTCCACTGGTCTATTCCACTGGTCTGTGTTTCTGTTTTGTTTTTTTTTTCCCAATACCATACTATTTTGATTATTGTTGCTGTGTAGTATAGCTTGATATCAGAGAGTGTGATATCTGTGTTCACTCAAAACTGCTTTATATTGAGGGTCTTTTGTGCTTCTATCAAAAGTTTCTTATTGTTCTACTTAAAATACTGAATTTTGATAGCTATTGTTTTGAATCTGTAAGCTGATTTAAGTAATATGGTGATTTTGTTTGTTCCTCTAGTCTATGAGCACAAGGTATCAATCCATTACTTTGTATCTTTTATTTTCTTAATAAAGTATTATAGTTTTCAAAGTATAGGTAATTTACTTTATTCATTAAGCTTGTTCCACGTTTTTCATTGTTTTTGATGTCTTTGTATCAAATCTAAAAGCCAATATTGATTGAGGAAAACACAATAGTGGTTTGGGACATCAATCTCCCACTTTCACTAATGAACAGATAGTCTTAAAGAATAAAATTGCATGGGCTTAATGGGTATTTATAGAGCACTGGACCTAAAAAAAGCTGAATATATATTCTTCTTAGGTTCACACGAGACGTTCTCCAGATTAACCACATCCTGGATCAACAAATTCACTATTATTGAAATCATACCAAGCATCTTTTCTGCCACAACAGTATCAAACTAGAAATAAATCACAAAAAGAAAGCAGGAAAACCTCTAACATGTGGCGATTGAACAACACACTACTGAATTACTATAGCTTCATGAGGAAATCAAAGCCTAAAAATACCTTGGCACAAATGACAAGGACACACTCTTCCAGAATTTACAGAGCATGACAAAAACAATACTAAGAGGGAAAGAGGGAAGTATTTATCAGCACAGCCCCACATCAAGAAATATAACTAAAATAAATAATCTTCTTTCTCACCTATGGGACTAGAAAAAGATAAACAAATAAAGGAAACAATAAAAATTAGCGCAGAACTAAACAAATAAAAAAGATAGTTCAAAAGATTACTGGAACTGAAAGCTTGTTCTTAAAAACAAAACAAAACAAAACAAAAACAAGCAGGCTTATTAAAAAAAAAAAAAAAGGCTGGGGAGACTAAACTCAAACAAATACAACCAGAAATGAAAGAAGAGATGCTACACCGACACCTGATATTCAGTTCAGAGGGTCATAAAAGATTGCCACAAACAACTGTTTGATGGTAACTTGAATAACCTAGAATGGATTAACTCATATAAATATGCAACCATGACACTGAATAGGGAAGAAATAGAAAATCTGAACAGACCAATTACAAGCAAGGAAATTGAATCAGTAGTCAAAATTCTCCCTCCCAAATACCCAGAAGTCCAGGACCAGAGGAACAAGTGATTTCTACCAAGCTTTCACGGATGAAAATGTTAGGGGAGAAGGATGTCCTCAAAGGACTCTCAGATACAGGTTTTGTGGCCTCCACCTCCATTCCAGACACTGATACTACAAATACCACCAATACCAAAGGGAGGACTTCTAGGGCCTGAGGATGGAGTTAAAAGCGACAAATAAAGCGACAAATCCCAGCAACACCAAGTAGGGGGCTGCTAGGACCTGAGGGGGTTGTTAAGCAGCCTTGTGAATCAGACATGTTAGGCTGAGGGTTTCTCTCTTTCTTGGCCTCCTGGCAGGTGGCTGGTCACTTGGCTCTTGATCAGCAGGACTGGTAGGATGCATTAGTTAACTTGTATCTCTCTCACTCTTTCCCTGGGTTGTTTCTTTTTTTTTTTGAACCTTGTAAATAAACCCATTATTGACCTTTCTATGTGTTTTTACAGTGCAGGTGAGTGTTAAGTGTATGCGCACAGGGGTGGAGGTTGCCCTGTAACAAATGAATATCCACCCAAGCATACTTCATGAGGCCAACATTACCCTCATATCAAAACCAAACAATGACCATACCAAAAAAAAAAAAGAAAAACTTCTCTATGAACATTGATGCAAAAATCCACAGTAAAATACAGCAAACCAGATTCAAGAATGTATTACAAGTATTACATATCATGACCAAGGGAGCTTTATTCCAAGCACAAAAGATTGGCTCAACATCTAAAACCAATTAATAAAATTCACATCAAAGATAAACTGTAACAATTCAAAATCTCAGAGTAGGAAGAAATTTAAATTAATCTCCATGGCAACTTGAATTTATGTATGCCCTCTAACATAACAATTCTAATCTTAGATGCTCAATAAAAACACATACTATCCTCAGCCACTGCAGCATGAGTTTGATCCCCAGCCAGGGAAGTGACCCACATGGCACAGCAGATATCTCTTGTTTTGCCCACTGTTCTGCTCAGTAGTGTATTTCAGTCAATCCACCTGTTCTGCTCCCGACTCTGTCTCTGGTAAATCTCTCACGCCCCTATACCTCTGGCCTACACCCCAGCTCTTATATGCATACATGAATAAATCTTAAAAAAAAAAAAAACTGTGTGTATATATGTATATCTACATACCAAAAATTCAGTGCAAAAAGTTTCGTAGCAGTAATATAGTTCTAAATAGGAAAGCCAAAATGTGCACAAACAAAAAGAAACTATGACTTAATCATACAATGAGACAACTCCTTGCAACGTGGACAAATCACACAATAATTCCATTTATATGAAGGTCAGAATATTAGTCCCATCTAATATTTAAAATGGGATATTTAAAATGGGGCTTCTGGAATGCTAATGTTCCTTTTCTCTTTGGCTAAGTGGATGTATTCTCCATGTTCTTTGATGAATCTCTACAAGCTTTGAATGTACTTATTTTTATATGAATGCTATGTGTCAATAAAAAGTTTACTAAAATAGAAAAATATTTGGAGTAATGGAAAATTAGTTGAAGATAAATCAGGGATAGAGAAATTAATCTTTTCTATATTGCCTAATTTTTAAGATTTATTTTATTTATTTAAGTATACAAGAACAGGGGTATAGGCCAGAAGTGCAGAGGGTGAAAGGATTCACAAGATAAAGTGGGGAGAAGAACTGGCAGATCTGAATACACTGCTGATGGGAGCAGTGGGCAAGACGAGAGGTCTGCTGTGCCATGAGTCTTTGTTCTGTGGTGGGGGATCAAACTCTTGCCGCAGTGGCTGGCCATAGCCTTTAGCACTGAGACTTTAACCCATGCACCTCCAGAGGAGCCCCCATATTGCCTAATTTTTTTAAATTTTTGAGCATATATATTTATCATGAGAAAAATCAATGCCATTTTTTAGATGTGGTTATCTGTATTTCAGCAAACTATTAGGGAAAAAAGTAGAAATGAAAACGAGAAATGCATTTAAATTCATTGGTGGTGAAAAATAAAAACAAGCGGTAAAAAACCGTGTAGATGTTAAGAGTTTGGGTCGTGGAATCAATGTTTCAAATCTCATCTATCCTGCCCCCACATCCTACTTCTTTGACATTGGCAAATTACTTGCTGCTCCAATCATCCTATTTCATGTCTGAAGCCACAAATCTCTTGGTGACCTCCTTCCCCTTCACACTACCCTTATACAACTCAGTCCCTGACGGCTACCTGTGCCATCCTCAGGGATAAAGCCTTTCTGGTTGCAGGAGTCCTGTGCCTGCATCGATGCCCAAGATCTGATGTTATGTTAATTGCAGCCCTGGAAAAATGAATATTAATCACATGTGTGTTGGCTCACAGGCCCAAGTGTAAGGAGGAAGGCTCTACTCCACACACTGAGTTCTGCTGGGGCCAAACCACTAATTTCAAAGAGCCTCAAAGGAGACGCTTTGCCACCATCTCTGTACTTATTAAAGCAAATTCACGCAGTGCTCCTGCCCACCTGTGACTATACAAGTGTTTCTTTTCACAAACCCTTCCCCTTTGCACTGCAGCTGAGGCAGCTCTCCTGCCTCTTTTTCTTTTCTCTTTTGCCTAATTAAAAAAAAAAAAAAAGGCACTGAATCAGAGTCACGCAAGAATGGGTTTAGGAAATTGTGTTTTAGCAATTCAAGTTTTAAGGTGATTCTGAGATACTTCAAAGCTTGAGAACTAAGTAGCACAATAAAGCCAAAAGCAGCTGACCCTGTATCTCTGCTCTGTGTGCTTTAGTGTGACCAAAATCATAAAAGGTAGTTTCAAAGTGAAAGAAACTAAAAAAGCTATAAAAATAAAACCACTACTGAGCCCTCCCTGGTGGCGCAGCAGGTTAAAGCACAGCACTAAGAAGCTAAAGCCACTTCAGCATAAGTTTGATCCCCACCCCAGAGGTGACCCACATGGCGTGGCAGACCTCTCCTGACCCATCCGCTGCTCCCCTCAACAGTGTACTTCATTGATCTGCCTGTTCTGCTCCCTGCTCTGTCTCTGGTGAATCCTCTCACCACCCTTGCACCTCTGACCTCCACCCCCTGTATGCATGAATACATCTTTTAAAAACAAATAAAACTTACCAACCAGCCTTCTACCCACCCCCTCACACCAAGACATAAATGATTAAGAGTCAATCTTTTACAAATTTGCTTAATTTTTAAAAAGCGAAGATCTTTTATGCCACTGGACAAAAAGGAATTTCATTTCAGTACTAGAATGGCACTACAAAGTCATCTTTACATCAAAATAATCAAACCATGAATGCACACACAAAAAAAGAATTCAGAGATTTAAGGAGACTGCTCCTCTTGAACTTTAGTAGCAGAAGCAGGATGGTTTTCATAATACTCCTGACAATATTCATGGAACAGGATGTTGGGGAGTCTGGGCACCTGTTGCTGCAGCCTTCAAGAACTCTTCAAGTTGCTTCATCTTCTCAGCTGGAGGAAAAGCAAATGATACCAACCACCCATAATGGTAAGTGCTCACTGATTCAAACACCTCCATGGCTGAGAAGTACTGGGAATGTCTCCTAAGGTGGAGATTTGTACCTGGAATCTTAGAAAGAGTGCGTCAGATTGCCACTTAATTTCCCTACTTGGATTTTTCTCACAAAGGAATGCTCAGGGGCTGTGAGCTATATTTGTGATTGGAATCTGCAAAAAAAAAAAATGTTTTGGCAAGAGAAGCCAGGAAAAAAGCCATGTTCCACCAGAGCTTACTGCCGCGATCCCCAACACATGCGGGTCTTCGGAGTCTTACCTCGGGCACGATGTTCCCGGTGCCACGATGCCATGTTCAGAAGCAAGCTCTTCACCCGATTTTGTACACGAGGCCGTCCGAAGACAGTGATTTCAGCTAATTTTCCCGAGTCAACTATGTCCACCAAAAGGAGGGCCTGGCTCATCCACTCTATTTCTGGAATTCTGGCTCGGTCAGCACCTAGACAATAAAAGAGACTCCCATGGTATGGTTGAAGGTCACAAGGAACACTTACTCGGGAAGGGTAAGAGCTGAAAGCTGGGCATCAAGGCGTCAAATATGGCCTGTGATGTAGAGAAAGACTCAAAAATTGCTGTGCCGGTCTCCTCTCCCAATGGAAAACACTTAACCCCCAAGCACACCCTGGTGGCTCACCAAAGATTACGTCTGTCAGCCAAGCCTCCAGGTAAAACACCAAGGGGTTTCTCAGTTCCTGCACTGGAAACCACCATGGCCGAATGCAAATGCGTGGAGGTGGAAGTGGTAACTTCAAGAGCCGGTCCAGGGATTGGCCAGGAACCCACTCGTCCCCCCTGGCCTCAGCGGCATCTGCTTTGTCCACCATGCTCCAGCCTAGGCGCGAGTGCTCTCACGAGAAGCCTGGAGCCCTTTTACGGTTTCCAGTAAGCCCGCCCTTTCCGGTGCCTGGTGCCACTGGCCTACCCTCAGCATGCTTGACACTGGGCCCCCAGGCTTGGTGGTGCCAGGACACTTTGTTCTCTGCTTAAATCACCAGGATTTCCTCCACGACCTCGACCTTGAATATTTATTTGTATGCTAGCCAGGTCTCAGTGGCTACACACGATCATCTCTGTTGAATAAGGTGTTACTTAACCTCAAGGCCACCTGCCCCTGCTCGTAGCAGATTAACAGTGTGGATTGAATTGGTTACGGGGCTAACCAGGAATCACTTTCATTGCTTAGGTCTCTGTTGCCTTCGGAGGTAAGTAAGCTGATGAGGCCCAGGGCAGCCTCATTGAATCTGTATTTTCTCTCTTCTGCTTGTTATCTCTTGATTCGTTACTTCAACATCAATCAAGTATGTCAAATATAAATATCAAAGGTGGTCTTTATAGAAAAGCTATCATGTATAGAGAAATCCTGTTTATTTCCAATATCCTTAAACAACTGTTGTGATATACCTCTCTTCCCAATGTTCATTTAAAAAAAATTAACATGAAAGATTTCATACAGCTAAAAAGGTACATGATATTTGTGTATTAAACACCCCTTCCACCTCATTTAACAAGATGTTAACATTGCCCCACTTCTTTCTTCTCTAAAGTAGCCATGGCTGAAGCATCTTTTCCTTCCTTCTCCAGGGGAAATCATTGTCCTGTAACTGGTGTGTATTATCCTGCACATGTTCTTCCACTTTTTTTCTAGTGCATTTCTAGAAAAATTTTTACATTGTTTTAAAATACAAAATACAAATCATTTTGTTCTTACAACTAGTTCCAATGTTAAATCTTATAAGTGGAGAAAATTGATCATTTATATAAAGGGGAAGTATTCCCATATTGAATTCCCTCACCCCCACAGATAATCTCCTTGAGAAGAGACTTTAATTTTAGCCTTAGTGATATTTTTATTTTCTAATTTAAAAAATTAGCACAAAATACATGTACATTGTAAAAATATATCAAAGATATAAAGTAATATGTGAAAATTCTCCCTGAATCTCTTCCTAATCCTAATCCTTCCTATCCAGTTGTATTGTGAAAAGCTTCTAGTTTAAATTGTCTTTTCATGTTCTCTAAGATGCCTTTTTATGAACATATATTTTATTATAATACAGTCAGATATATCAGACTTTTTATAGCAAGTCCCTTCCCTGCCCTTAGCAAATTAACAGTGTGGTTTGAATTGACAACCTTGTTAACCAGGACTCACTAACTACTGTTCTAGAAACAGTGTTGAAAGTGGTATCTTAACATTTAAATCCTTTAGCCACTTGGGGTTAATTTTTTTTAATTTATTATAAGGTAAGGATATAATGAATTCCATCTTTTTATAGATTGATAACTTTGTTATGAGCCTTTTCAAATTAATCCTTAAAATGTACTTACTCCTAACGCTTTTTACCTCACGTTAGACATAGCAACACACTGAATTCAAACATGTTAGAAATTACTCAGCAGAAGAAGAGAAATTAACAAGAATTCCCTCAGTCACAGCCAGCGATGAGTCAAGTCCAAATCCCTAGCTGGTGGCAGGGCACAGGAAATGCCACAACAGGAAAACTACACTTCACCTCCTTTGCTGGTATGGAATGGGGGAGCAAATTGTCCTGATGGACACCCAGCTCAAGGACCTTGTGAGGTTGGCACATACAAGTAGCTTCAGTTAGCCACACGACTGGTTTGTGGTAATAATTATTGGCTCAAGCCCTCTTGAGAAAGGGAAAAATCAAGACAAGTTCCTTTGCCATTCCCATCTGGACAGGAAAGTTTATTTCTGATTTAGTTTTATTTTAGACGTGTAGTTATTTGTGATTCTAGCTTTATGCAGAGACCCTGTATTAAGTTTCCTACATTTTGTAAACCTTGGGTTATATTTTCTGGTGCTGGGCTGGCATTAAAACAGAATTGCAAGACTTTTAGGATATAGTGGAATCTGCTAAGATGAATCAGTTTTGTCACTCTATAATCTCCAGTTTCCTGATTTGATGCCGATGAGGGGAGGGTATAATTTGAATAATAATCAACAGTTTATAGCCATCTGACTGCGTCAATGGTATTTAAACTCGTACCAGATAAAGTAAAAAAACACAGGACCCAGAAAAGGGGACTACAGTTCTTTGACACATTAGCAGTAACTCCATGGCAGCCACATACCTACTCAGTTCATAAAAATATTCAGATCCTCTGACTTAAAAAATTTACTCCTAAGTATATGTTCAACAGAAAGTACTAAAAGATGGATAAGAATGTTCATGGTGGCCCTCCCTTGTGGCTCAGCGGGTTAAAACACAGCACTGAGAATCTAAAGCCCCTTCCGCATGAGTTCGATTCCCGCCTGCCCCGGAGGTGACCACATGGCGTGGCAGACCTCTCCTGACCTACTCCCCTCAACAGTGTACTTCCTCGATCTGCCTGTTCTGTTCCCCACTCTGTCTCTGGTGAAGCCTCTCACCGCCCCTGAGCCTCTGGCCTGTACCCCAGTTCTCTATGCACAAATAAATAAAATCTTAAAAAAAAAAAAAAAAGAATGTTCATGGCAGTATTATTCAAAACAGAAATTTTAAGAAAATAACCAAATACCCATCTATAGTAGAAAGAATAAAATTTGGCAGATTCATACAACAGAACATATTGATAAAAGTGAATAAGCCATTCCAATGTGAGTGAGCTAAAGAATACTGTAGGAATCTATTTACATAAAGTTCAAAAACAGGCCAGAGAAAGAAAGGACTGATTATATTTTGTAGTTTTATTTGGGCAGTAGTTATAGCAGTGCCACTTTGAAAAATTCACTGAGCTTCAACTTTATGATTTATATACTTCAATATGTAGATTAAACCTTCATATTTTTTAGAGTACTTTAGAGACCTAGTGAGTGACCAAGTACAATTAATCTCAGTAAATTCTGTTTATCTATGTTTGAAACTGTCACAGAGACTTCAGAACACTGAATACAGTTCTTCCTCACCTTATAGTGGAGTTATGTCTCTAAATCCATTCTAAGTTGAAAATATTGTAAATCCAAATGCATTGAGTATACTACCAAAAATCATAGCAGTGTTTAGCCTACCTTAAATGTGCTCAGAACACATATGAGGGAAAAATCATCTAACACAAATTTATTTTATAGTAAGATGTTGAATATCTCATGCAATTTATTGAACATTACTCTAAAAGTGTGAAACAGGTTGTTTACTCTTGTGATCACAGAACTATATGGGAGCCACAGATCTCAAGTTGAATATTGGTAACCCCAAAAAAGAAATTCAAGGGCCCTCCCTGGTGGTGCAGCAGGTTAAAGCACTGCACACAGAAGCTTAAGCCACTTCCGCATAAGTTCGATCCCCCCCTGCCCCAAGAAGATCCAAATGGCGAGGCAGACCTCTCCTGACCGGCCCGCTGCTCCCCTCAGCAGTGTACTTCGTCGATCTGCCTGTGCTGCTCCCCATTCTGTCCCTGGTGAATCCTCTCACCCTCCGCATCTCTGGCCTGTACCCCAGTTCTGTATGAATAAATAAATAAATCTTTAAAAAGAAATTCAAAAAAATTCAAAATCTAAAGTACAATTTCTACTGAATGCATATCACTTCCACACCATGAGAAAGTTGAAAACTGTCAAACCATCATAAGTTGGGGACCATCTGCAAGTACCCAGAATACAAGAGATAGCAATTATTCAGAGAATAAGAAAGTAGACCTAGTTTCACTCACAAGAACTTGTCACTTTACCAAACTTCTCACTTTACCAAAAAATGCAGTGATACAATAAGAGCAGAAACTACTTTTCAAAAGGCTAAGAGGGAACATAGGGATGAACAATTAATTGAGGGTGACCAATGTAAACCCTTATTTACTCTATGAATGTTCATGGAAAGATATGAGGCATATAGTCATCACTGGAGAGGTAAATCATCATGATAAGACCCCCTTCTGCCTTCCTTTAAGGGAAGGTGGCTTTGCTACAAATACTCTTTTCTTTTGCTAGTGGCCATTCTCTTTCTGACTATAAAACTCTCCATTTTGGAGCTTCATATGACCCAGCAAGCCCACTCTTAGGTATCTACCCAGAAGACACAAAACACTGATTCAAAAAGACACCTGCAGCCCCATGTTTATTGCTGCTTTATTTTACAATTGGAAAGACATGAAAACAATCCAAATGCCCAAAAGTAGATGACTGGATTAAAAAGATGTGGTACATATATACAATGGAATATTACTCAGCAATCAAAAAAATAAACACATGCCTTTTGCAGCAACAGGGATGGAGCTGGAAAAGATCATGCTTAGTGAGATAAGCCAGAAAGAAAAGGAAAAATACTGGATGGTTTCACTCTTAGCAGGAGTATAAAGGACCAAGGGAGAAAATAATAATAATAATGAACAACTATCTATCAGAGACATTTTACAGGGGTGGACTGGGGAATGGGATCACAAATGGTGGGGGGAGAGAAGTGCACTGGACTATGGTGATAGCACACTGGTGATTTGGCGATGTGAAGCCCACGGGGATTACAACTGAGATGGAAAAAGGCACATGATGTAAAAGCAAATTGTTATATTATTTTAAAAAACTATCCATTTTGTGCAATTCCTAGCACTGCCTATTTACTAGTTTGATGGTATACTGCCTGATTTATGAAATATTTAATGAAGCTAATTTTGATCCCTAAATTTATTCAGATGAATTTTGTTTTTAACATTATTTTCTTAGGTAAGAGTGGCATTAGACTAGCAATCAGAAGTCATCTGTAAAATCACAAAGTACTTGAAGAATAAAAACAATTTCTAAGTAATGAGGGCCAAAGAAGAAATCGCAAGAAAAATTAAAAGTTTCTGAAAACATAAACTTATCAAAACTGTGGGATGACATGAAAATGTGAGGAGGGTAAATAGCATTTAATGCATATATTAGAAGAGAAAAAAGATCTAAAAACAATCTAAAAAAAGAAAAATAAATTAAATCAAAAGCAAGCAGAAGAAATTATAAAAATTAGGGCAGAAAGTAATAGAATTGAAAACAGAAAAGCAAGAAAAGTCAATGAAACTAAAAGCAAGTTGTTTCTTTCTTTCTTTCTTTCTTTCTTTCTTTCTTTCTTTCTTTCTTTCTTTCTTTCTTTTTTATCATTGAAGCCAAAAAACTTCTAGCCAAGTTATTATGAAAAAAAAGAGAGAAGATACTGCTGACTGAAAAAAGAATGTTTGTTAGAGATGTCTCTGCACTGAGAAAACTGCAGAACTGGCAGCTGCATAGGCCTGAGACAGCAAAGAGAAAATTTGCTGTGAAGAATACATATAGCCAAATCACACAAAGGAATTCAAATACCCAGTCCACCCCTATCATGTTTCAAGTTGGTGGAGAAAGGAACCAGAGATAAATACACAGTTGGGGGCCCTCACATCCGGAGAAGCACTTTTCAGGATAGACAGAAATCTTTATTATCCTTAGTTCTGGTGTTTTCCCACATAGTGATGATACCTGCATTGCATAAAAAGATCATTTTTCCATATACAGTATTCTTCATTTATGTTTGTGAAGGTTGTAACCAGATCTCTCTTTCTCTCTGCTATAGGAAAACTATGCAGCTTAATGCTTATTGCACCTAGTGTATGTAAAGAGCAAAACTTCTGAAGGTATATCTATATTACTAAATATAGAATCTGTTTTGCTCTGAATATTTTCTTTAATAAAGTTCTCTTTGAATTGCTTCACAATGGTGATTATTTCAACCAACAACACAAATTACTGTTAGAATATTTTAGCCAACAACACATATTAGTATCAGAAATGAAAAATGCAGACATCACTACAGATCCGACAGACTCTTAAAAGATGAATATTATAAACGGATCTATGCCCACAAGTTTGATAATTCAAGTGAAATGGACCAATTCCTTGAAAGATAATCTGGCAACATTCACACAAGAAAAAACAGAAGAGGTATATATTGAATCCATAATCGCTTTGTAAAACAAAAACACCAGACCCAAATGTGTCACTGGGCTACCCAAACATTTAAGGGAAGAAATTAAACCAATTTGTACAATCTTTTCCAGAAAAAAAGCAGCAGAAGGAAAACTTTCTAACTCATTCTATGAAACTGAAGACAGCATTACTCTAATACAAACACCAGACAAATATACAAAAATGCTACAGAGCTGTTTTTCATGAACATATATGGGAAAATCCTCAACTAAATATTTGCAAATTTAATCCAACAAAATTCCTTTCTAAAGATCATTAATAATATTTATTTAAGATTAAGGAGTGGAGAAAGATTAAATACCTAACACATGTTGTTGTATATTATTTCCTGATTGCTCCAAATAGCACTGCAATCCTATTTCTCCAGATATCCTCATTCAGTTGCAGTAATATAACTTAATCCAAAAAGACTACCTGGTCCATTTTACACCCATCCCTATGCTCCCCATCCTAATCCTGGGCACAGTACCTACCATTGCAATCCATGTCTACTACTTTCTTCGATCATTGAATCTCATGAGTTTTGTGCAATTTGAAGATCATAGCCAACTCTCAGGTGGCCTCTATCACTAATACGTTCAGCCAGAAATAGGCTACAATGATTTATGCATTTATTCAATTTATGTTATTTGCTCTAATACCACAACAAAAGTTCAAGTGTTGCATGAAGCACAGAAGTAGCATCACTGAGGTTTAACGATGGATCATTACATTTCGTGGATTATAAATCAACAATTTATAAAAACTAATATCGGTTAAAATACACTAACTAATATCGTTTAAAATACACTAACGTGCCGCTCATGTATTAATGTAAAAAGGCTGTTTTTCTTGCTTCATATCAATATTTTTATTTGTATACTGCGTCATGTAAAAACAACCTACGTTTACGAGTCACAGTTAAAAAAAAAAAAAAAACGTTTCTAAGGCCCTGAATTGCGGAGTAGAAGGAGTATTTTCAGCGAGGAGAGGTCGAAGGAAATCACATGCTTAAAAAAGGAAATCAAGCTCGGCGCATTGACTCGTTCGAGGCGCGCTGGCAGGTTTAAGAGATCCGATTGGACAAACCCTGAGGGTCCCGCCTACAACGTCTAGTTCACCAATGACTACGCGGCAAGGCTGGGGCCGTGCGGGGCTGGCGTGTCTCGCGCGGGCTCCATAAGTAGCGGCTGCGTGGGCGCCCTTGTAGACTAGCCCCACGACGGCTCTGTCGGGCTGGTGCAGAGCTAGAGCGGAACGACGCCGGACGTGCCGGATCTCATTCACGGAACCATGTCTATGAAAGAAGCAGGAGCCAACGCCCCCTCTGGGGTCGTTGCTTCCCAGGGAAGCTCGGCAGTGACCCGGCCACCCGAGACACCCGCGGAGGAACTGAATCGAAGAGGTCGGGGGGCCCGTAGAAGCGGCAAAGGTGGCGGCTGGAGAGACTCCTCCGCTGGACCCCAGGAACCGCCGCTCTGCTTTGGATTGAAGAAAGACTGGGTCGGCACCGTGATCGGTGAGAGCAAAAGGATGGGTGGGTACGCAGGACGGGTCTTGGGGAGAATGGGTGGGGCCAGGGGCGGAGCCTGGGCAAAGACCTCCCCACCCCATTCTCCTTGTCTCCAATCAGCTGCCACTCAGTGATATTTAGGTCTCTCCACGTAATATTTCTAATACCGTCTGGTGTTGATATGATGTTCTTTAATGCACCTTTTGATAGTTTATAGAGGTTATGTTCTGGGAAAGCAAAGGTTAGAAGACATGAACTTTTCGGTAAAAATCAGGCCTTTTTTGACCCTCCTTGCTGGCACAGAGAGTTAAATAAAGCACACCACTAGGAAGCTAAAGCCACTTCAGCATGCGTTTGATCCCCGCCCCGGAGGTGTTCCACATGGCGTGGCAGACCTCTCCTGAGCCACTGCTGCTCCCCTCAGCAGTGTACTTCGTCGATCTGCCTGTTCTGCTCCCCACTCTGGCTCTGGTGAATCCTCTCCACCGCCCCCCTGCACCTCTGGCTTGTACCCCAATTCTGTATGCACAAATAAATAAATCTTTAAAAAAAAATCAGGCCTTTTCACAGCTTACACCAAAGTGAACAACAAAGCGTTATTAAAATCGGTGTTTCAGCACTGTCTAGAACTATTAACTAATGGGTATTAGCCACGCCTTACACCTAGTTTCTTGAACGTAAGTATGATTTTCTAACAAAAAGCGGGATCTTTTCTTCTTAACTGCACCATGGATCTTACAAATACATTTTTGAAAGGCATTTAGGAATGTAGCTGTGTCGCATTGATTGCCATTAAGTCTGAAGATAAATTCCAACATTTTGCCTATTAAGTTGAGGGAGCTAATATTTTGCTTTGCACCTTTTGAAAATTGTTTGAAAAAATGGAACTGGCAGCGATTAAGTAGAGCCTTATAAGACCGATAGCTAGACCAACATTTTTTAGTCCCTCAAAGAGGCTCAGATATCAGAAGAGTTAAGCTCCCTTAACAAAAGTCACTAGATTTGTAATAAAATCACTTTAAATTCAACACTTCTTGAGGATCTGTGAAATGCAACCTCTGTGCTTGAAAGTACTGACTCGATGTTGGTTATGGATCCAATTTTTTGTTTAAAGATTTTATTTATGCTTACAGAACTGGGGTACAGGCCAGAGATTCAGAGGTGGTGAGAGGATTCACCAGAGACAGAATGGGGAGCAGAACAAGCCAACTGACGAAGCACACTGCCTAGGGGAGCAGCGGGCCAGGAGAGCTCAGGAGAGGTCTGCCCTGCTGTGTGGGTCACCTCTGGGTGGGGGGATTGAACTCATGCTGAAGTGGCTTTAGCTTCCTAGTGCTGTGCTTTAACCAGCTGTGCCACCAGGGAGGGCCCTGGGTGTAGTTTTTTTATGGTAAAAAAAAAAAACAAATTTAAACTTAACAGTTAGTGTAGAGTACAGTATTGGTCATGAGAACAATGTGTAGTAGTTCTCTAAAATGTTTTCATCTTGCATGACTGAAATTATCATTGAACAACTTCAAATTTCCCCATTCCCCCTTCCTTAGTAATCTCCATACTACTTTTGTTCTGTCAACTTGATTATATTAGATACCTCATGAAAATGATCATGCACTATTTGTTTTTAAGTGATTGGCTTATCACTAAACATAATTTCCTCAGATTTCATCCATGTCCCCAAGGCATGGCAGGATTTCTTTTTTTAAGATTGAAAACTTCCATTGTTTGTCTATCCAGATTATTTCCAATCATCATTGCCAGTTCATTTCATTATTTCCACATCTTGATTAAATCATGAATTGTGCCCCCAAGAACATGGGAGGGCAGATAACATTTGAGAGTCTGAATTGAAGTATTTTGGATTAATACCAAGAATTGGAATTATGTATGGTAGTTCTAGTTTAAACTTTTTTGAGGAGTCTATATGGACTTTTGTGTAGACAAATGAACTGGTTGCACCATTAACACTGCACCAGGTACCCTTTTCTTCACATCCTTACCAACACTTATGATCTATTTCTAAAGGATAAGTAAAGTGATAGCTCAGTATGGTTTTGATTTGCATTTCTCAGATGGTTTCAGTATCTCATAGATAACTTGTTGGATATTTGTATGTCTTTAAAGTAATGCTGAGTTGAGTCCATTAATCATTTTTAATTGGATTTTTGTTTGTTAAACTGTATTGTGCAAAAGTTCCAATTTCTCCACATTCTTGCCAACACTTGGGATCCAGTTGGTTTATACTTGGGCTGATGATCAATCCTTGTATCTACCTTTGGGAAAAGGAGCTTTTTATCGCCCACCTTAATTGGGACTAGAAAGCTTTTGATTCCCAGCTTCCTCACTGAAAATGATACCAGACTCTCAGAACCTTTCTTGGATAATATGAGAAAGAAATAGAGAAGATTCTTTGAGAAAAGTAGGTAAATTTCCTGTATTGATTTCAACTTGGCTTTTTTCTTTTAAAAACTACTTTATTTTAATAAAACAGGTCGTGGTGGGTCAAAAATAAGAGATATTCAAAGTACAACAAACACCAAAATACAGGTAAGTGATGTGTGTTCTTAAAAGCCTTATTCATCCCTAACTCTAATTTCTGCTGCAGTTATTACCTTACTGTGTAAACTTAGATATGATACATGAAAGCTCTTCAGACTACCATTCTTTTTAAGAACTACCTAAATTGTGCTCCATTCCATATCTAGGTTTTTTTCACTCATAGAGGTAAAAATCTTTAGTGATAGCCTCCACTGAAGAATGAGATCTCCCGGGAGCACTCGTTTTGATCTTCCTGACCATCACTCCTCAAATCTTGACTTTCTGTATTTCAAAACCAGAAATCTCAAGATTCTTCTCTCCCTTTATCTTATAACCAGCCCATCACTGAGCTTTCTTTCCTGTACTTCTCAAGGAAATTCACATCATTTGGAGGTTTGCCCAGCTGTCCATCCTGCTTACAATTTTCACAATGGCTAGGATAGTCTTTCTAAAACACAAATTATGTGTTTATAACCTATATCTTCCTAAAACCCTTATATAATATCTAAGACTTATTCTCATAGCCTACTTGATCTGGCTCCTTCAACCTCTACCTTCCTCTATCCTTACTCCCTCAGTCCACTCCTCAAGTATTCCTGCTCAGTTCTGACATTCTCTTGTCCTAGTTAATGTTATCTCTACAGAAAGAATTCCTGCTTCCCCAGTCTGTGTAGGTGTCTTTTTTGTATTCTCTCATCATCCCATTTCAGCCTTTTTAAAGCACGTACACAAAATATCTGTGAACTCTGCAGGTGGTAAGCTTTGTTGTAATCATCAGTCTAAGACATGTAGTAGATCTAGATAACTACTATTGAATCAGTGAGGGTAGCTGAGATTATGTACATTTGAAGATGTTGCTTTAGGTCTTATCCTTCAAGTATCCTTTTAGCCTTCTAAGTTTGCTTCCATTACAGTATACTGTAATACATACATACTGAATATATGTGTATACATAATGTATAAATATGTTAAAAATTTCATGCCAAGTTTCACAGTACTATCAGTTATTACTATCAGTTATTTTTAAATAGCCTATAAATTAATCCACTCCACTCCATCCCTGTACAATTCTGTAAAATTAACCTAATAACCATTTCATATGTGAGAAGTGAGACACAAAGTAATTGAAATCACTTATTAGGTATAACACCATGATCTAACACTATTTGTTGAATTTACTCACTACCTGTCAGTCGTTGTAAAATTAGTGCTCTCACACTCCTTCCCTCCTCCCCTCATCTAGCCAAGAGCTAAGTCTCAGTAGCATCCCTTTCATAAATTAGAATCTTAGACACTGAAATGATCAATACCAATAGTATGTGCTGTTTATACTTTATACTGTGTTGAGTGATTGGGAGATGGTAATGAAGTTACTTTAATCTCACTTATTTCCCCCTTGTGTCCCTTTATAGATAATAAAAGGGCATCCGGAAGCTGAGGTCAAAATTTTTGGCAGCAAAGCAATGCAGACAAAAGCTAAAGCAATGATAGAGAATCTTGTTAAAAAACAAGATTACAGTTCACCTAAAGTTGGTAAGTAATTTTTGCCACTACAGTCCTGTAAAATTTCTAAAATTTTGTTTGTTGTTATATACTATGTTGTTGCTGATGTTTTTCCTCATACGTTTTAGATTGTCATCATTAAATCTACTGTGCTAGGGTTTTTTTTTTCTGTTAAGTCCCAAAATCCTCTTTTCCTCAAATTAAATATCTACTTAATCTCTGTAGTTAAATCTAGATTGTTTGTCTTAAGCCAAAAATAAATTTATTTTTTAATGGGAGCCCAAATCTTTTTAAAGATTTATTTTATTTATTTATGTATATAAGAACTGGGATGTAGGCCAGAGGTTGGGATGGGAAATAAACTTTTAAAAATAGCCCCTAATTAGTGGAAGTGGAACAAAGATTAGTCCTGGCCTCTTGACTCTATGGTGTTTTCCCTAGATTATCACAGATTTAGAAAAAAAAGCCTTAATTATTTTGGGGGTATTTTTAATATCTCAAATATTCTTGGACTAGAAAAAGAAATTATTGAATTATTTCTGGAAGCAACATGGAATTTTAGAGTGTCTTGGTTTCAGAAGACCTAATATTCCTTAGTGTTTGTTAGGAAAGATAAGACTCTGTCTTGGGTTTAACAATTGCCTCACAGGATTATTGTAGTGACTAAGTGATATATGTGTGATTCATTACTATGTATTAGGACCTCATACTGTTTTCCTTCAATAATATGATTCTGTTTCATAAAATTGATGGCATAAACCATGACCAGAATTATCATTGTACTGTAGTGGCACTATAACTCTAAATTTTGTTATTTGAAGCATTATTTTGTGGTTTTGAAACACAAACTATAATAGTATAATAATTTTGAGGATTTTTTTACTAAGATGTATTTTGTAATTAAGTTGGCAAAAATATTTTTAACAGATATTGTTGCATTCCAACCTTCTGTTGGAAAATATGTACAGACAGATGACAGTTTTGTCACAGATGATCAACCTTTGATTGATTGGGATCAGATTCGAGAAGACGCTTTGAAATGGGAAAAAAAAAAATGGGCAGGTTAGTATCCTGACATTTACACATGGCATTGGTATTTCTCTTTACAGAAGTTTTTATTCTTTATAAAATATCCCTTATACTTAGCAATGAATCTATGTGAAAAATGAGTAAAATTTGAAGTGCTACAAGAAGTTCCTAGGGCAGGATAGTTTCTATATTGCCTGAGTTGTGATTTATTTTATAGATGGAAAATTAAAACATTAAACTTATTTACACTTTGTATTATTTGAGGTAACTCACTACTAAAATTTTATTATTTTTTAAAGATATATTTTACTTACCAGAGCATATAAGAACTGGGGTACAGGTCAGAGGTGTGGGGTGAGTTAGAGGGTTCACTAGAGATAGAGTGGGGATCAGAAAAGGCAGAATGACTGAAATACACTGCGAGGAGAGTAGCTGGCCAAAAAGGGAGAGGTCTGCTGTACCAAATGGGTCACCTCCCTGGGCTGGGATTGAACTCTTGCTCAGTGGCTGTCAGTAGCTTAATAGTGCTGAGACTTAACCCTTAGCACTGCCAGGGAGGAGCCCTGCTGAAATTTTAGATAGGAAATCAGGCCCAAAGGGAAGAATGAAGGGAATAAACATTCCAATATCATATTCCAACCAAACAACCATAAGTTGTTAACATTGATGCTGTTGGTGTGTCTGAGCTGAAAAGAGCAAAATCAATAGGGAAAAAACACCTTATGAAGTAGCAGATAGTTGTTGAGATTTAATTTTTAAAACTTTAAGCAAATTTCCAACTTGGAAATATTTCACATTATAGCCACTGAATTTCAGAGTAAACTCAGGCACTAATTTTGGTCATCAGAATGAGACAGTTAAAAAAAAAAAAAAAAGAATGAGGCTGTAATATAATGTCATGGTTTTTTTAAAAAGATTTATTTGTTTATTCACTCAAGACCTGGGGTATAGGCCAAAGGTGCAGATGAAAGGATTTACCAGAGGCAGAGTGGAGAGCAAAACAGGCAGATTGACTGAAATACACTGCTGAGGGGAACAGCACACATAACAGGAGAAGTCTGTTGTGCCGTGTGGGTCACCTCCCTGGCCCAGGATTGAACTCATGCTGCAGTGGTTGTGGATAGCTTCATAATACTGCACTTTAACTTGTGCCACCAGGGAGGCCCCAGTATTGTGTATTTTAAATCAAAAAGCTAATGCACCAATCTGTGACAAATATAAATAGTGATTAACCCCATTGTCATGGTTAACCTATCTATATGTTAAGTTTCTGATATATTATTCACAATGTTTTTATGGAGCAGGGTGATTTGGGATAAGAAGCCAAAAGTTTAAAGTTGGAAGAAGTTTACTAGGCAATTAAGAGCAATCACACTTCAGAAGATTGAAAAAAGATAATTAATTTCTAAACAGTAATGAGATAGACCTTCAATGAAAAGATAAAATCATTCGACTAAGTTTAAGAAAGATTGACCAACTGTGATAATTTATTTTGTAAATTGTAGTTTCTTTTATTTTAAATTTAATTGTTAAACTTAAAAAAAAAAGAACTGAAATAAAACTCAAAAAGAGATCTTAAACTGTCATAAGCTTGGCTTGTAAAAGCAAGAATGACTATCTAAAACTATGTTGCAAGGTGAACTTCTTTTGTATTTTAATTTAATTTTTTTTACTTTACGTGTCAGTGAAATGTAAATTCTGATTATTTATCAAGGTTTGAATTTTCACATTTTCCTCAGATTTACCTCCAATTAAGAAAAATTTTTATACTGAGTCAGAAACCACAAGCTCAATGTCACAAGTGCAAATAGACAATTGGAGGTGAGTAGTTTTATTTCACTATGTCTTTAAGTGAGTTTTTATCAGTTATTAAATTAATTCATTAGACAAAGATTTGAAATTATTGCTTTTGAAAACTATATGTTCCATCTTTAAAGGAAAAATTGTTGGATCTATGTTACATATTTTAAAGTATGTATATATAAATAGAGCATATTTAGGGCATTGTGTAGTATTTATTGCTACGCAATAAAACAACTTTCTGAAAAGAAGCAAAACGTATCTAACAGAGGGTTTCACCAGAAAGCTAGTGAACATTTAAAATATGGCTAGTTTAATTGAGGAAATTGAACTTTAAGTGGGTACATGTGGTTAGCATATGCCATTCTGAACAGCAGTTTTAGAGAATTATTTTGCCAGCTTCTAAAAGTCATAAGAAATTGATCTGATACCTCTGATACCTGAATATTGGATTAATTTATTATTCTTGAATCTTTCTTATCTGAAATTAAAGATCCCAGGGACAACTTTTTTTTCTAAGATATTATAATGCAGAACAGTTATTCTTGGGTTAGGTTAGAGCTCAGACTTTAGCCGAGTCTCATAATTACTGTCAAGTGATAAAATTCCTCCTTCTCAGGATTGTTAAGGATCAATTGAGGAAATATGTATGGAACATTTTAGGCTTTCAAGAAGTGTTTGCCAAATATGACTTTGAATTATGAAACATTTAATTTTTAGGTTCTGTTCTTAACCTTTCCATGAATCTTTCATTTATCCATTTACACGTAAAATGTATTTTTTTTCTTTTCTGCAGCTATTTGATAAGAAAAAGAGGAACTCACTTCACTTTATTAGTTATTAAATTTTACTGATTTTTACCTTTTGTAGTTGGATTTCTAGATATGATCTGAGCTAATTTCTAGGGAAATTTTCTTAATTTGGAATGAAGGGATCAAAGTCATTAATCCTTGTTCGATTTTTCCCTCAAAGGAAGGAAAATTATAATATAATGTGCGATGACTTGAAAGATGGTAAAAAACGCCCTATCCCCAATCCTACGTGTAAATTTGAAGATGCCTTTCAGTGTTATCCTGAAGTTATGGAAAACATTAAAAAGGCAGGTTTTCAAAAGCCAACACCAATTCAGGTATGCATCATCTAATTGTTTCTCCCCTCAAACCAATATCTGAATATTAGGGGTTTAAACACCAGGCGGTAACTGTCGTTTACAAGCTGTCTTAAGTACCACCTGTGCCAGTGCTTTGCATTCAAAGTATGATTGGAGCTGGGAGAGGTCAGACACTTGAAAAAAAAGAATGTACTATCTATTTTAATGTTTCATTCTGTTTCAGTCACAGGCATGGCCAATAGTTCTGCAAGGAATCGATCTTATAGGAGTAGCCCAAACTGGAACAGGGAAGACATTGTCCTACTTAATGCCTGGATTTATTCACTTGGACTCTCAACCAGTGTGAGAATTTCTACAGCTGTGTTCTCTTTATAGGGCTTTAATAAATGATACTACAGTTTCTTTCATCTATTGCATTAGTCAAAGAGCAATGACAAAATATTTTTTGGAAGCAATGGCAATATCTACCAAAATCTTTAATAGTGTCATATTGAAAGCAGAGAGTCTAAATTTTAGCATATGTCCAAATATAGTATGCTATTTTCTGAGAGGATGTTTGACCCAAAAGAGCATTAACCATGTTAATTAAAAAGGCTGGTGTCTGGGCCCTCATATTTTTCCCTTATTTGGTTATTTTCCTGTATCTCTCCCTTCCATGGTAAATGTTTGTGACTTCAGTACTCACAGTGACAAATCCTGAAAGCACTGTAACAATGTACCAGGTGTCTAAAACAAATGATCTAATATTACTCTCTTTTCTTTTCAAAGAACTAGAGGAAAAAGGAATGGGCCTGGTATGTTAGTCCTTACACCCACTCGAGAATTAGCTCTTCAAGTGGAAGCTGAGTGTTCAAAATATATATATAAAGGTCTTAGAAGGTAAATCATTTATTTGGTCTCTCCTGCATCAGTATTCTAAAAATTTATAGCTATGTTTTCTCCCCTTTATCTTTCACATATTTTTGAGACTGTAATTGGCTTAGAATGATTCACGTATTATTCCAATCCAAACCAACTATAGCCAAGGCAGTTGGGTTAAAATAATAATATAGTTTATTGGTACGGCTCTTTAGGCCATTTGACCCAATATTGTTGGAAGTGGATAGTACTCAGAAAGTTATAACTACTACTAAAAGCATCTGTCATTTATTTGATAGATATACCTTTAATTTGTTATCAGTAGTTCCAGACTTCTAAGTTGGTTGGGATTTTGAGCTGTGCTGAAATCTACCTTGCCTAAACATTCACCTCTCTTTTCTCTTAGTGTGTGTATATATGGTGGTGGAGACAGAGGTGGACAAATAAAAGACTTGCTAAAGGGTGTAGATATCATTATTGCAACTCCTGGGAGATTGAATGATCTGCAAATGAATAATTTTGTCAACCTGAGAAGCATAACCTACTTGGTAATCTTTAAGTATATGGGTTTGGGATACTAGGAAGAACTGAACTCTTATTAAGAGATTTTTTTTTTAAAAAAGCTGAAATAATGGTTTTAAATTCTAAGAGTATTCCCCATTTTCTCTAGTATAATGTTGGGAAAATGCAAGTAAATACAAAAGAAAATTAGAATACACGTGAATTTTTAAACACTTGGATTTTTTTTTTATTGAATAGATTGAGAAACTATTAGCTTAAAATCAAACTATGTTAGAAAGCCAAAACAGATGGTTTATATTCCCCTGGAGAAATGAAAATTTTCCCGTAAGTAACAAGGGAAATGAGACAAATTCACCTAGTAGTATTAGACTCATAAAGACCCATTAGAGTATAAACATATTAGCTGCCATATCTAATCTACCCACAATCATTTTTAACACAGGTTTTAGATGAAGCTGACAAGATGTTGGATATGGGATTTGAACCCCAGATAATGAAGATTTTATTAGATGTGCGCCCAGACAGACAAACTGTGATGACAAGGTAAGTGTGTGCTTAAATGCTAGTCAACAAAATTAGATGTCAGTGGAATAGAATTCATTCTTTTTAGTTGATTTCCACTCAGAACACTGAATTTTAGAGCATTACTTAAAGGTATTGAGATCCTTAAGTTAAAGAATGAGTTTGATACTTCAGTGTAACAATGTACAAACCACATTTGGTTTCCAAGTACAGGTAGAGACATCTGTAAAGGCAGAAGGGACACTGTTTGATAGTGAAGAGTCTCACATTTAAGCATGTGATTACCCTTCCTAAGAAGTAAACATATCATTACCGTATGCTTTTTAGCCCAACATAAAGCTGAGAAAGCAATTTTCATTTAAATGCAGAGTGATCTATAAACCAGTTTTTTCTGAACTTAAATCCTTTGTGTCACCAACATTAAAAAATAGCATATAGTTGAAGGGATATACTAAATTTCCTCATTTTGTTATTAGTAATTTTCCCATTTTAAGGAAAATGAGGGCCCTCCCTGGTGGTGCAATGGGTTAAAGCACAGCACTACGAAGCTAAAGCCACTTCAGCAAGAGTTCGATCCCCCGCCCAGAGGTGACCCACATGGCATGGCAGACCTCTCCTGATCCACCCACTGCTCCCCTCAGCAGTGTACTTCTTTGATCAGCCTGTTCTGCTCCCCCACTATGTCTCTGGTGAATCCTCTCACCACCCCTGCACCTCTAGCCTGTTTCCCAGTTCTGTATGCATAAATCAGTAAATTTTTAAAAACAAAAAAAGACTGAGAGAACTAATATAACATTTGAAGTCATTTTACTTTTCCATTTTTAATCTGTTCTATAGATTAGAATATAAGATATGTGTCTTCCGCCTATTTATTTAAATTTTTCATCTGTTGATAGTAGTAACATTATAGTTGAGCAGTTCTTTGTGATACACTTATTATTTGTAAAATATGCCACTCTGAAAATTATAAGTTTGCTTTTCATGGATAATTTCATTCATAGTTTTTGAAAACCTTAGTAATATTTGTTTTATAATAAAATTTTGATATTTTCATCTTGTCTTATTTATAGTGCAACTTGGCCATATGCTGTCCGTCGACTTGCACAATCATATTTGAAAGAGCCAATGATTGTATATGTTGGCACTTTGGATCTAGTTGTAAGTTTGTTTTTCATACTGTTGTTAAAGTATTTCTTAAGTAAGAATTTAATTTGTCTTTTTTTTTTTGCATGGTTGTTCTGCACACTCGCCAGTATTACAGCAAATCCTAAAAGCATATGATTTTATCCACAAATACTTACATATTTATCTCTAAAAAATGATTTTAGCATGCTACAGTACTATTTCACATTTAACATTGTTAGAATTTCCTAGTGCTGTTAAGTATACAGTGTTCTACTTTCACCACATCTCAGGATGGCATGAAATCTAGTTCTAAAAAGATCTCCAGTGCTATCTAAGTAAGTGTAGTATTCTCTTTTTGTGAAATTAAGATTAATCAAGAGTTTCAGATGCTAAAAAATTATAAAATGTATAATTAACTATCTCATATCTCTCTTACTTTATGAATTTCTGAACTTTCACTTAATTGGTACTGGCCTTTCACTTGGCCATTAGTGAAACTGATCTTTTTCCTTAATCCCTAATAATAATGACTCATTGTGTTGACTCATTTCACTACAGATTTAATGGAAGATAGAATAAATGCTTAACATTTTCCATTCATGAAATGTTATTAAAATCTATTTTATATGTGATTCAAAAAATGATATCTATGGCATTATATTTTGAATTTTGCATTAAATTACCAAATTGGAACTCCTGTGTCACTAGCTAATCATCTTCCTTCATTGAATAAGAACTATACCCAGAATTTATGATGACAGTGTTTGTAAACTTGAACTCACCACAGAGATTTCTTTGCCTGCAATGGTGACTATTGCTTTCAACACACTGCCACGCATTCAGGAGTTCCCAGTTTAGCTAGGTGAGTGAGTGATAATAAGTGAAAGGATCAGTACAAATACTAGAGTAAAAATGAGTAGTTTTGCAAAGACCCACTTTTTTTCTGAGTAGCTTATAAAAAACATTAACCAATCAATGACAGAAGTAAGGTGAATTTCAAGTCAATGTATGGAATTTACCCCTCAGTGTTAATAGATTATGATCTTTGAATCCTTTAGGCTGTCAATACCGTGAAACAGAACATAATTGTCACCACAGAAGAGGAGAAACGATCTCATATTCAAACTTTCCTAGAGAACATGTCTCCCAAAGATAAAGTCATAGTATTTGTCAGCAGAAAATCTGTGTAGGTGTTTTTTTCTCTTATAACCTTAGTCATCAATCATATTGATTTGTTAAGTATCATGTCAATTTGTATAATAACTTCAAATGGGGGCACATATATCTTAAAGAATAGTATGCCAGATTATTGCTTGTAGACATAAAAACGAGTAAATAGATGGTATAAGAATAAAACCTTAATTTTAAGATCACTAACTTTATATTTTGTTTCAGTGCTGATCACTTATCAAGTGACCTGGTTCTCCGACATATATCAGTAGAGTCTCTGCATGGCAATAGAGAACAGAGCGACCGAGAGAGAGCATTAGAAAATTTTAAAACAGGTACATTTATATAGTTGGTGTCTGTTGTAGTTTATTTTTTTAAAGATTTATTTATGCATACAAGAAGTGGGGTACAAGCCAGAGGTGCTAGAGGTGGGAATAGTGAGAAGATTCCCTAAAGACAGAGTGGGGAACAGAACAAGCAAATTGCCTCAAATTTGCTGCTGAGGGGAGCAGAAAGCAAGACAGGAGAGGTCTGCTGCACCATGTGGGTCACCTCCCTGTTCAGGGATCCAACTCATGCTGCAGTGGCTGTGGATAGGTTCATAGTGCTGCACTTTAACCTCTGTACCACCAGGGAGGCCCTCTGTTGTAGTTCAGAAATGCCCAGTGCCTGGGCTGTATGAATGACAGCACCATTCCATGGAACCGATTTCTAAGCTCTGTTCTCAACTTGCAGGTCCCAACTTGCAGGTCTAAATATTTACCAGACTCTCAGAACTATCCATACTCAGAAAGTTAATATTTAAGCCTAAGTATCAAGGTAATAATTTTCAGTGGGAAATGTTTCTATTAATTTATGTAATAGGTAGGTATACAGCTCTGTGATATGGTTCAGATGATTCAGGGGCTATTTGTGGAACCAGGTATCTATTGTGTTGTAATTTTCCAGCAATGAGAAAATTTTTAGAATCTTTAACATTTTTAGATCTTTAGCATCTTCACATTTTTAGTATCTTTTTTTCCTTAGATTGTTTCTGTTGTTGTTGTTGCAGTAATGTTTGTTTTTTTTTTACATCATACTTCATTTTGTGCATTTTTTCATCTCAGTTGTAAACCCGATGGGCTTCCCACCACCAGTTCATCTGGGAGCTCTCACCATAGTCCCATGCACTCTTCCCACCCCAGGTTTGAGCCCATTCCTGTTCCACCCCATAACATGTCTCTGGTTTACAGTTGTTCGTTGTTTTGGTTTTTACATTATTACATTTCTTCTCTTTCTTTCCCCCTGATCCCTTACGCTCCTGCTATGAGTGAACTTTTTTTTTTACCTTAATGAGTGTTTTACTATAAGCAGTAATAGTTCACCTGATTAAATATTAAGGTAAAATATATTTTTGATATGTGTGTTGGACTGGTTTATGTCAGAATGTCCATGTTCGTTTGGTTTTATTCTTTAGGTAAAGTGAGAATACTGATAGCTACTGACTTAGCATCTCGAGGTCTCGATGTCCACGATATCACACATGTCTATAATTACGATTTTCCACGAAACATTGAAGAGTATGTACACAGAGTAGGGCGTACTGGAAGAGCAGGGTAAGTAAGCAGAATCCACCCATGAATAAGCCAGTTTGGCTCCTTATTCCTCCCCCATACTTTTGCTACCTGCAGAATTGTTTTGTTCTCTTACCTATAAATTGCCTTCACCTCCCCAGAACCTCCTTCACTACATAACCCCTTTTGAATTGGCTTTTTTCATATTCAGCCAGACCTCTCCATGTTAATTGCACATGACTGTTTCTGAGTCAACTCATCTTCCTATCTGTGGTGTCACAACACTGAGCTATATCCAGTGGTTATTATTGTCCAGGTTAGCATATGTATTATTTATTTATGTATGCAAGAGCTAGGGGGTAGTCCAAAGGTGCAGGGTGATATGAAGATTTGCCAGAGACAGAGTAGGAAGCAAAACAGATGGAATGAATGAAATACACCACTGAGGGTTGTTGCAGTGGGCAAGACAGAAGTCTGCTGCATAATGTGGGCCAGCTCCCTTGCCAGGGCTCGAACTCATGTTGCAGTGGTTGCCAGTAGCTTCATAGAGCTGAGACTTAACTCCTTGTACCACCAAGGAGTCCTAAAATAGGACTTCTTTCCTTAAAAGTATTACTGTCATAATCCCTGTAACATGCCAATTAATAAATTGTGATCATTTAGATTCCAAGTTTCTGTTTGAATGATGCCAACTCTTAATGAATAATGCTTAATTGGGTTTTTCAGAATTGAAGTTTTGTTGTTGCTGTGTTTATTTTGCTATTTTGCTAACTGAATCATGAATGCAAATTGTCAAATAACCCGTTGTTTTCCTCTCCTAAGGAGGACAGGAGTGTCAATTACTCTTGTCACTAGAAATGATTGGAGGGTTGCTAATGAATTAATTAGTATTCTGGAAAGAGCACATCAGGTAAGAATATACAATTCATTAGAACACTGCTTACCAGTTTTCTAAATTTCATTTATGAAGGATTATTGCTTATCAGAAAAGGCAGATATTAAGCAAGTAAACATGTTATGAGGGCTATGGCATGGCAAAGATAAGGAGCTATAGGATGCCATAATCAGGGAACTTAAGCTCATGTGGTAAACATAAATGAAAACTACTGAGGAGGAAACCAGTGTGGTGGATGTGCAAGAGCTGTAGAAGAATGATTGAAGTGTTTGATCAGGAGAACATAACCAGGCCCAGAAGGGAGAAAGAACCACACAGAAAGTGGCATGCAACAAGAGGACACTACAAGCAAGGGAGTGGCATAGTGGTGGGTGACTTTAAGATTAGTTTGGTTTTACCACCTGAAGATAGATTCAAAGTTAATATGCAGATATACAGTTCAAATACATTTCATTGTATTAAAAGATGTCATATGTTCAGTTGTTGGGGGTATTCTATCATATTGTTGAAAATCTATTGTACTGAAGAAAAAAACTCAATCCTAATAACATATTTAATGGTTTCAGAGTATCCCAGAGGATCTTGTGTCTATGGCTGAGAGATACAAGGCAAATAAGCTGAAAAAAGAAATGGAAAAAAAAATGGGAAGACCCCAAGGAAAACCCAAGAAACTTTTCTAATAAGTCTGGTTGAACAGTGGCATCAGACTACTTACATGAGGTAAAATTTGGATAACACACAGACTTTCAAATGTCTGTTTTCCTGTACTAGGCTTTGTTGCTTATTAAAATCAGCATTATCTATTAGTCTTTAACATAATACCTAGGCTTAAATATTAGCTTTTGAGTTTGGATAGTTCTGAGAGTCTGATAAATATTTAGTCCCCAAGTTGAGGACAGAGCTTAGAAATCGGTTCCATGGAATGGTGCTGTCATTCATACAAGCCCAGGCACTGGGCATTTCTGAACTACAACAGAGGGCCTCCCTGGTGGTACAGAGGTTAAAGTGCAACACTGTGAAGCTCTCTGCAGCCACTGAAGCATGATGAGTTGGATACTGGGCCATGGTGGAGACCCACATGGCACAGCAGACCTCTCCTATCTTGCCCACTGTTCCCCTCAGCAGTGTATTTCAGTCAATCTGCCTGTTTTGCTCCCCACTTTGTCTCTGATGAATCCTCTCACCCTCCTCACCTCTAGCCTCTACCCTATTTCATGTATGCATAAATAAATCTTTTTATAAAAAAAAGACCTTTATAAGATCATCTCACATCCATCAGGATAACTGTTATCAAATAACAAGTGTTAACAAAGAGTGTAGAAATTAGAACCCTGTGCATGGCTGGTGAGAATGTGAAATGGTTCATTCACTATGGAAAATATGACAGTCCTCAAGAAATCAAGAATATAATCAGCATTTCATTTTGGTGTGTAAATCCAAAAGCATTGAAAGCAGAGTCAGATATTTGTATGCCCATTTTCAAAACAGCTTTATTAATTGCAGCCAAACAAGGTGGCAACCCAGGTTAGTATCCAGTGGCTAAACAGACAAACTAAGTGGTGTGTAAGAAATGCTGACACAACATTGCTGAACCTAGAGGCCATTATGCTAGATAAAATAAGCCAGCTACAAACGCTAATACTTTGATTCCTTTTAGATGAGGTACCTAGAAAGAGGCATCAGTTCATAGACAAGTAGTGATTGCCAGAAGCTGGTGGGAGGGGAGAACTTGGGAGAGGTTTAGTGGGTAGAGTTTGTTCTTCATGATGAAAAAGTTGTGGAGATTGTTCTACAGCCATTGTAAATCTTAACATTAGAGAACTGTATATTTAAACAGTTGGGATGATAAATTAGTTATGTATATTTTATCACACTAAAAATGTTTTGAAATTTGGAAATAGCAATTTAAATTTTTCTACTTATTTTTCAGAATTCAATATCTTTTAGAAATACATAATTTAAGATATATGGAAGTATTTGGAAGATGGTAGCAGTATGAAGAGGCAACTGATTCTTAAAATAATAGTGTTTAAAATGTAGGATTTGATGTTTTGTACTTTCTTTAATAAAATCAAAAGTATTTAAACTTAACATTTTTTCTTGGATATTAAGAATTAGTAGCATTTAAGATTTTTTCACTTTTTACTGTTTTTTTTTAATTAAAAAGTAAAGTTTGTCTCCTGCATTGTTGCTGTATCAAGATCAGCCTTTAAAGGATTTAAAGTATATTCAGATAATGTAATGGTAGTGGAATAGATATTGTTAACAAAATAAATAAATATGTATGATTAAAAAAATAAGCTGATCTATTTCTGAATAGCCTTTTAATTTTGTCTGCTATATATTTTACTTGGGGTACTTTTCAACATGTTTACATTTCTACTTGGAAATAAAACAGTAAAAGGGGCTTCATGGGACCAAAATATGCAATAGCTATTTCTTAAATTTTAGGATATAGCTCCATGCTAAAATATACATTAGGAAATACTTTCATTTCCATGAAAGCTTCTTTGATTAACCACATACGCCAACTTTTCTTACAGTTTTGTATATAGTTTCCTGTTTCATAGGTGATAGTTATATTTAGTAGTATATATCACTTAGGCAAATATTTATATTTGTATATAATTAGTTATACCTTTATCATCTCATTTTATTTACATTTAAACACAAACACATGATGGTTACATTCCTTTTCAGTGTTTTCCTTTGTATCAAAAATTCTATATGCCTGCATTATAGAGTCAAATTATTCTATAAAACTTATTTTAAAAAAGTACTCCAGTAGTCCTCAAACCTTCTATTCTTTATTTTCCATTCACAAGAGGCATTTACCTTTTTAGCCATTTCTAAATACCATGCTTCTATTTTCACTTTCTTGATTTTTCAAATTTGCTATCTATTGATTTCCCACCATCATTCCATGTCTGTGATGGTCAGATTCTTAGGGGAAGTCCCATGATTGCCATCTACCTGGGTTCATGTCTAAGTAGTATTTTATTTTATTTTATATATTTTTTACATCATTCTTCCTTTTTGTAGAATGTATGCTTTCTCCTCTCAGGTGTAGACCCCATAAAATTCCCACCACCAATTGTAGTCTAGAGGATTTTACTAACTCAGTGAGGTCTTGCCTTTGCTCTGGGCTTCTGGGAAGCAATCATTAAACCCTTGTAATATACCAATATGATTTATGGTGGTAGGTTTGGGTCATACCGTATCAGCTTCTATGTCTAATCTCTAGGGGAATAGAGGCTGAGGTTAGAGATGTGGGCAACCATCCACTGAACCCCAGTTAAAATCCTAGACACTGAGGTTCAGGTGAATTTCCCTGGCTGGCATACAGTCTATGCTATTGTCATACATTGATACCTTCTTAAAGAATAGAAAAAAGAGGCCCTCCCTGGTGGCACAGCAGGTTAAAGCACAGCACTGAGAAGCTAAAGCCACTTCCGCATGAGTTTGATCCCCGCCTGCCCCAGAGGTGACCACATGGCGAGGCAGACTTCTCCTGACCCGTCCACTGCTCCCCTCAGCAGTGTACTTCATCGATCTGCCTATTCTGCTCCCCACTTTGTCTCTGGTGAATCCTCTTGCCACCCCTGAGCCTCTGGCCTGTACCCCAGTTCTGTATGCACAAATAAATCAATCTTTAAAAAAAAAATAGAAAAAAGAAGCTCTTGGTTTGCTACTCTTCTAGATTCTGTTCTATGTGCTTTCTCCGTTGGCTAATTTTAATCCATAACCCTACACTCCAATAAACTATAACCATGACTAGAACAGTTTTCATTGAGTCCTGTGTTATTCCAGTGAATTATCAAGCCTGAGACTAATTGAGGGAATCCTTCTGAAACTGCAGGTGGTGTCAGAAATGAAAGTGGTCTAAATGGGCAATGGTTTTCCCCTAATTAGTTTACTAAACTAGTACCGCACCATTGAACATAGCAGGGAACTATGATTTTTTTCCAAAAATGTAAATATGGTAAGGGGGATGAGAGGTATATGATTTTGATATGTAATTGTGCTACATAAAACTGTTGGAGACCCTCACTCCCTTTCTGACTTTGAAGTGAGCTGCCACTTTGTGGCCTGCCAGTGTTGGGAGGATCACTTAGTAATGAACTTCAGTTCTGGGCAGTTTCTAGAAGCTAAGGAAATCCTCCGGTTTTTAGTCAAAAACTAAAGTTGTCTGAAAACTGTAAAGAATGAACATTGCCAACAATTATGAATCCTCTACGTGAGACTCAGATGATAACACGACTCCAGTTGACATCTTGGTTGAAACCTAAATAGCCATGCCCAGAATCTTAGCTCACTGAATCTGAAAAATGTGTGTTGTTTTAAGCCACTAAGCTTATGTTAACTTATGTTACAAGATGAAATAAATACAGTCCAATCACCACGACCATGACCATACAAGTACTCAGCCTGTTGCCTTATTCTCTCCAAATAATTAATCATAATTTTACTTAATAGTCAATCAGTACTTTAGTTTCATAAATACTTATAGATTTGCAATACTCTCCAATTAGACTGTTATTATTTTTCTCTTGAATACATTCATTTTTTTTCCTGGAATTAAAAGTCACTTGGATTTTTTTACTATGCCATGTTTTTCTATTTATCATTAATTTCCTCTCAATGGCTACCTTTTTCTCTCTTAGTATGTTCAATCATAGCAGCTTGTTAAGATTCAAAACATGCACAAACCATAAAAGAAAAGATTGATAAATTCAATTACATTAAAATCTTGAAACTGTTTATTAAGAATCACTTAAGATGATGACAGCACACATATTGGAAGAAGGTTTCCCAAATTATATAAAGAATTACAAAACAATGCGAAAAGCATAAAGTAACCAATGAAGTGTGCAAAATGTGTAGGGAAAAAATAACAGTTACCTGTAGGTTGAATACAGCTATAACACAAAGGAGAAAGAGTGACATTTTATTCCATGCTTGTTCTGATTTTTATACCAGGGATGTTATCACCTATTCAAACATACAGAAAATCGCCATTTAATGTCATCAATAGTGTCTTGGAAACTGCAACTTTAGCAATTTGAAAGTATGTCCTCAATGTCCTTTCATTTAATGTTGGCTGGGAACATTTTTGCTCATGAAGCTTAGGACAAAATGACATTATTTGAGGACATGTTGGAGATATAAAAGTGTTACTTAAAAAAATAAATTATGTTTTATATTAAATTTACGTTAGTATTAAATACCATGTAGTATCTTATAAAATATGAATATCCAACTTATTTTTCATTTCCTTTTTACCTATTAACATATATGACAGGATATGACTTCAAAATATTGTTCATTGAACAAAACCTTCCAAATATATGGATGCAAGAGTTATTTCTAATACTGTTTCTTGCACATTATGTGCTATGTAAGAACTGGTGTTTAATAAGTGCTTTATGAACTTAATTAAGGTGATATATGTTTTGTCCTTTTCATTCCAATCTGGTAAAGATTTTAGGTTTTAAATACTTTTTCCTGTTCCGTAGCTAATTTCTTTCCTCGCCTAGCCAGTCCTTTCTACTTGATTAGTTTACTAAAACAGACTAAGAGAGAAATAATGATTTACATTCATTTGGTCAATCACTGCTATAGCAAACTTCCTTAACACGGTCATTTTTAAAATTAAACCTTCAAAATTCATCAAAAATTGGAAATCCATTGTTTCTTTCATATTCAATTTGCTTTAAGAGAAAATCCTTACTTATTTTGTTAATCTGTTCTTGAGAGAATAGATTGACTCTAGGAATAAAATAATGTTGAAGCTGTCCTTCCTTAAGGCACTCAAGAAAGTATGCCACACATCTATCAAAGCAGAGTTCTAGGTCTCTGGAGTGCCACTGTTCATCCTGCGGGCACTGGGTACACAGGTCAAAGAAGGCAGTTTTCACATGATAAGAACAGAATTTATCCAGTTCTTTACGGTTTTCAAACTTGCTTTTCAATTGTTCTAAAAGACATTTCATTAGTTTTAAGCATTTTTTCCTGTTGAATAAAATAGAAAACCATTTATTTTTATTTACAACCTACTTCATTCCACAAAGAGCTTTATGCATTTTACATGAAAAACATAATGATACAATAAACCCTCTCTGGTGGCACAGCAGGTTAAAGCACAGCACTGAGGCTAAAGCCAGTTCAGCATGAGCTTGATCCTCACCCGCCTGGGAGGTGACCCACATGGTGCGGCAGACCTCTCCTGGCCCACCCGCTGCTCCCCTCAGTAGTGTCCTTCGTGGATCTGCCTGTTCTGCTCCCCACTCTGTCTCTGGTGAAGCTTCTCACCGCCCCTGCACCTCTGGCCTGTACCCCAGTTCTGTATGCATAAATAAATCTTTAAAAAAATATACAATAAACACATAAGAGATGCAAATATATATAAATAACATAATGTAATTATAGTGTCACTCTGATATAATTATAGAGTCACTCTAAAACATTAAAAAGTATATGCTTTGCAAAGGAACAGAAACCCTTGGAATCCAACTGCAGAAATGCAGTAAAGGGTGGAGGAGATCCAATGGACTATGATGGATGGCACTTTAGCAGTAGGAAAAGAGTGACAAATCATTTGAAGATATATGAATCTATATTCCCAGAACATATAAAGTGCTGTAATCCAATAGACAAATATGTATGCTGAGTCCCAAAAACATACTTCTTCCCTCTTCCTCATTCTTTTTTTCCTATCAGAATTCAACACATGAGACTCACAGATACTTATATTTAGCCCATCCAGTTACCCAATACCCAGAATAATTTTAACTTGTATAAAATGGTTTTATTTTACTAGGCTGCAAATATTTACATTATTTACCCAGTCATTTAAGATTTGACAGAATTTTAATATTTGTAAAATTATTTAGCCTTAGCAGCAATATACTTTTAATGCTTGCTTCAATGCCTGCATATGAAGCCTTAAAGAACCTCTTGTAGCTGCACAGTGGACATACTTTTCTTAACTTTAAATTTTTGTGATCCTTATACTAGACATTAGAAATTCAAATGATTCCTTTTTGATCTCAGTTCTTTGTGGTATGTATGCTACTTAAAACAAAACAGAATTACCTATCTCTTAGTGTTGTTTCAAGTTTAGCTAGTCAGTCCTGCTTTTGAATACAATCTTACCATCTCAAAATAGGCACTAGTGCCCACTAAGAGTGACCCTTTGTCCCTTCATCCTATGACATGAATATTCATTACATTTTAACAACCAGAATACTAAGGCATATCCAACTGTCATGACCAGTAATGGCTAGTGCCTACAACCTCTATCTGTCCTATTTTACATAGCTATCGGATCCAGATTCAGGATTATGCTCCCTTGCCTTGTCTTCTCTTTCCTTGATCCTCTGGACCTAGCTCCCCTGGCTTCATGCACACCCTCCTGTCAGTACTCCAAATCAAGTCACTTATGCACTGGCCCCACAACTCAGCAATAATCATCTTCAGGGTTAAACTAGGGACACAATGAAGATAAAACGCCCCATAAGTATTTCAACATTTAACAAAATATAGACATTACCTGCAACATTCCATTCCCTTACTTTCACAGCATGTTTTAGAATGTCCATGATTGTTCAAAATAACTTTTTCAATGTTAGAGAAGGAAAGTCGCCATGTGTCTTCTTAATTTGCAAAACAAAAATAGGAAAATAATTTACCAAAAGCACCAATTTATAAGTAACACAATATTTAAAAGAATTCCTTCATTAAAAAATGTCATTTTAGGCCCTCCCTGGTGGCGCAGCGGGTTAAAGCCCAGCACTGAGAATCTAAAGCCACTTCCGCATGAGTTCGATTCCCGCCTGCCCCGGAGGTGACCACATGGCGTGGCAGACCTCTCCTGACCCGCCCGCTGCTCCCCTCAGCAGTGTACTTCGTCGATCTGCCTGTTCTGTTCCCCACTCTGTCTCTGGTGAAGCCTGTCGCCGCCCCTGAGCCTCTGGCCTGTACCCCAGTTCTGTATGCACAAATAAATAAATCTTTAAAAAAAAAAATGTCATTTTAGGGCCCTCCCTGGTGGCGCAGCAGGTTAGGACACAGCACTGCAAGCTAGCACAGCTGCTTCAGTGCAAGTTCAATCCTGGCCCCAGAGGTGATGCACACCGCGCACAGTGGACCTCTCCTGGCTCGCCTGCTGCTCCCCTTGGCAGTGTACTTCGTAGATCTGCCTGTTCTGCTCCCCACTCTGTCTCTGGTGAATCCTCTCACCACTCCTGCACCTCTGGTCTGTACCCCCAGTTCTGTATGCATAAATAAATAAATATTTTAAATACACACACACACACACATACACATATAGCTGTGATACCATGAATTTCATGGCAAAATGTTTGGAACATGAAAAGTTAAAGTTGGTGTTATATACACCACCAATGTAGTCAAGTTTTTATTGCTAATGTGTCGCAAACACACATGGGCGCATGTACACACACACACAGTTATAGGGAAGCCTGTCTGAATGTAGACTGGAACGATGGGAAATGGAAATTAGCTATGGTTAACAGAGAACAGAGGAGAAATAAGCACCCATCACAGACCCCACGTTCACCTTAAGGGTATTAGGCCCACCCACCCATAAAGGCCTACCATAATGTAGACCATTCAGCTTGGATGACTCTTGGAAAGCTAACACCATCAGCTGATCTTTTACTGCCCTAGTATACCATATTAATATCTCTTTTGTATGTCTTTAATGTCCACATTCAAATACCTTGAAAACCATTTTCTTCCTTTGCATGCTTGGGTACCAGGTAAAATGGCTGCTGTCTTAGATTTTGCCTAACTTTGGTTCCAAGCCAGTTTTTGATGGGGAGGCCTTGCTGGGTGCAAGCTGGCCAACTGCTTCTTGATTCCAAAGCCAGGATTATATCCAGAGATATTTCCTCAGGGTTTCTAATAAGAAGTGTTACAGCAGGGCTGCCCCTCTTCTTCCTCTCCACAGTGATATTGGTATCTGTTGAAATGTATAAAAGGCAAGAAAAGGTTTATTGATCCAATTTTCTCTGGTAACACACAGCTGGGGACCTATAAAGTGCTAAGAGTAAAATGTTAGATCACTTCTAAAATATAAACTGACCACAAAGCAAAATGTGTAACTGTACCTAACTTGTGAGGATGAGCATTACCAACACTGTCTGGAATATATATTGAGGGGTCTCTGAAGACTGAGATTTACAATTAAATTTTTCTTTAAATTTATAGATGGCAGTTTGGAGACAACCTAAACAGAAGTTCAAATGAGTGTCAGCGAGAAGAGAGGTGTACAGCGCAATGATGAGGAGAAGGGAAAGGGAAGGCCCTCCCTGGTTGGGCAAGGTGTTAAAATGCAGCACTATTAAGCTCCCCTCAGCCACAGCTCCAATTAGATCCCCAGCAGGGGAGCTGACCCAGATGGTGCTGGCAGGGCAGTGTGTGGACAGATCTTTCCAGCCTCACACGCTGATCCCCTCAGCAGTGTATTTCAATCAATCTGCCAGTTCTGCTCCCCACTCTGTCTCTGATGAATCTTCTCACCCCACACACTTCTGGCCTGTACCCCAGTTCTTTTTTTTTTCTTTAAGATTTATTTATTTATACATACAGAACTGGGGTACAGGCCAGAGGTGCAGGGGCAGTGAGAGGCATCATCAGAGACAGAGCGGGGAGCAGAACAGGCAGATCGACGAAGGACACTGCTGAGGGGAGCAGCGGGCAGGTCAGGAGAGGTCTGCCACGCCATGTGGTCACCTCCGGGGCAGGCGGGAATCGAACTCATGCGGAAGTGGCCCTAGACTCTCAGCGCAGTGCTTTAATTCGCTGCGCCACCAGGGAGGGTCCTGTACCCCAGTTCTTTTATGCACAAATAAATCAATCTTTAAAAAGGAAAAAAAAAAAAAAGGAAATGGAGACCACAGGATAGATCTGACCATAGTGGGCTTCTGTGCTGAGACAGAGGCACTGAGCAATAGGGCCTGGGAAACAGCACATGTTTATGGCAGCTCTATATACTAGTCAGATATGGAAACAACCTAAGGGTAGTTTATAATATACAATGAAACTACTCAGCCTCAAGAAAGGAGACCCTGCCATTTGCCACAACATGGAGGTCATTATACTGAGTGAAATAAGTTACTCAGCAAGCAAACACTACATGATCTCACCTGATTGTGGAATCTAAAAAAGTCAAATATAAATGTTTACTCACTAAATACACCCTTAACTTATAATTTTTCAACTTTACAATAATGCTTTCAGCTGTGTATGTTAATGGTGAGGTCAAATACAATGAGATCAAATAACACCATTCTGTTTTTCACTTTTAGTACAGTATTCAATAAAAATAAGGCCAAAACAACAAATAGTATTCAATAAATTACATGAAATTCAACACTTTTTAATAAAATGGCATTCGTGGTTGATTTTGCCATACTGTATTGTGAACATGGTTAAAATAGGCTAGGCTAAGCTATAGTGTTTCATAAGTTAAGTGCATCGTCACTTATGGTGGTTTCATTAACATAACCCCACTATAAGTCAAAGAAATCCACATATGAAGTCAAAGAGTATAATGGTGGTTACCAGGGCAGAAAGAATTGGGGAAATGGAGAGACACTAGTCAAAGGGTATAAAACACTTAGGGAGGGTAAGTCCATGTATCTAACCTTATGTATAGTGTGATTCTACACACTGAATACTGGAAATTTGCTAAGAGACTGCATCAGGCACTCCCCACACACCAAAAAAAAAAAAAAAGGTTCTGTATGAGATGTCAATTAGGTTAATTGTGTTAAACATTTCAGGTATTACATCAAAACTTTGTGGAGTACACCTTAAGTATACACAATTTTTATTTTTAAAAATTAGGCATAAGTAGAAATGAAAGAGGTTCAAATCAACAGAACTAGTATTTGCACTGAATATGTGAGGTAAAGGAGATATGAATCTCGGATGTCATCCCATGATTTTGGTCTCAGATATCGTTGATGTTGATTATATTCTCTAATGCAGACAAAGCAAAAGGAAGAAAGATTATGCCTAGTGGAACTCCATTTTATTTTATTTATTTTTAAAGATCTATTTACTTATGCATACAAGAACTGGGGTGTAGGTCACAGGAACAGGGAGTTAGAGGATTCATGAGATAGAGTGGGGAACAGAACAGGTGGATTGACTGAAATACACTGCTGAGGGGAGCAGTGAGCAAGACAGGAGAGGTTTGCTGCACCATGTGGGTCAGCTCCCTGGCTGGGGGTCAAACTCATGCTCAGTAGCTGCTGATAGCTTCATAATGCTGAGATTTAACCCCTTACACTAGCAGAGAAGCCAGGAACTCCATTTTAGACACAGAGATCTAGGAGCCCACAGGACACCTAATTAGAGATACTATTGGGCAAATGGCCATGCTGGTCAAAATTTGGGGAAAGGCCTCTAGATGTGATTTTGGAACTTGGGGTAGACAAGCAGTATTAATGATCACTCCTAGAGGACTTCTGGAAGGACCTACAGTGAAAAAAGACAGCACCTCAAGAAGAAAATTTAGAAAAAAGGAAAATCCTACAGAATACCCTCATTTTCTCATCACTAAATAATGTTTGCACCTGTCTAGCTTTTAACCATTATATGCTTCTTCCTCCTATTACTCCTAAAAACCATCATCACACATCGTCCCTGAATCCCTTTCTTTTCACCTCAAACACCCTGATCCTTCAGTTATTCCCTCTATTACATCAGTGGCCTCCCCATTCTTAGTGGAGCATCCCTCCCTGCACACAAAGTACTCCAGCATCTTCCTCTCTAAACTAGACCTACCTCTCTCCACTTGACATCAGATTATTCTCCAATGCTAACCCATTTTCTGCTTGTTTCTCAGTCAAACCCTTTCTAAAGAGTTGCCGCCTCATGCTGACCCTAATGCACCCCTGCCCTTTCTCTTTAAGTGTAAGCCCACTGAAACTACCAAACCAAAGAGCAAATCCAATGGTTTTCTGGATTCTAAACACCACTCCTTCTGCAAAATGGCCATTGTCCTTTACTCCTACTCTTCTCCCCAAATTCTAATAGAATCTCTTCTTACCACGCTACTTAACTTTGTAGTTTTTCCCCAACCCTATCCCGTGATCCCCCTCACTTTACCACATTCTTTCATCATAGCATTTACTACATGCTAATACACAATATATATTTTTCCAAATGTTATTAAACATGGCTGTCCTTACTTAAGTATAAGGTAGGGGGAGTAGAGGTCTTCATTTATTTGTTCATGAATGAATTCCAAACACCTAGAACACCAGGTACATATTGATTGAATGAATGATCATTGATGGATGATCAATAGATATTTATTGAATTAACAAAGAAATGAATCTACATTCTTTGACTTGGTGATCTCATCATGCCCAGTGCTAATTATATGGTTACAAGCAGCCCAAACATTATCACTTGGGCTTCAAACTCATATCCAACTACATGTGTGATACATTTACTTCACAGTACCATAGAAATCTCTAACTTAATGTATCCAAAACTAAAGTCTTCATTCATACCCCAAAATGTTCCTCCTCAGCCCCTCCCACCTTGAAAAATGACACAATCAACCCAGAATGGATGGCCATTCCAGAAAACAGGAAACACTCTTTAACTCAATCATCTGCTGGAACCCCTACACCTAATCCAGAAGTAAGCAGTGCTAGAGTGTGGATGTGTCTGCTTCTCTCTATCCTCTGCACTTCACCTCCACTCCCAGCTAAGCAACCCCCATCTTTCACCTGAACTATCAGAATATTCTCCTTATACTATCTTCTACACAGAAGTACAGTAGTTCCTGTTTTTCCATGGGGCATGTGTTCCAAGACCCCAGTGGATACCTAAAACCACAGGTGTACCTATATATGCTATAAACTATATATATACTATATGCCCTATATATACTAAAAGGTTTTCTATTCATACATACAATAGTTTAATTTATAAATTAGGTATAGTAAGAGATTAACACAATAATGTGATAAAATTGAAATACTGAAAGAAAAGTTGAACAAATGAGGTACCTCCCTCTCTCACTCAAAACATTATTGTACATAATATTTTTGGACCATGGTTGACCACAAGTACTGAAACCATAAAAAGCAAAACCATACACCATAGAACAAAACCACAGAATACTGTAAACTTGAGAAATTCAAAGTCAAGCACTATTTCCTAATATAACCTGGCTTCTTAATGAACATGGAATAAAATCTAAACTCCTTTCCAGCACCTACAAATCCTCAGATTCTGGTTCCCAGTCACCCCTCCAACTTCATTGGTATCACTCTTCCTTTGTCCACAGGAGTCTCTTTTTCTTTCTTGAGTTTGCCAAGTGCTTTTCTGCCTCAGGACCTTGTTCTGCAATCCCATTCCAATCCTCTACCATCAATTCTCCCAGTTCATGTTCTTCAGAGCACTCGCTGCAATTTGGGTTATACATACAAGGTCAAAGAGGAGATCCCACAGGCAGAAACAATACCCAGTAGCACAGGCAGCCACAATTCAGTGAATATTCAGTGGAGATCAAACTAAAGCCAACATTTATGTTGAATGTACAAGACGAAAACTGAAAGCAAAGGAAGGAAGGATGGGTCAACAGTCTATTGCAGGGGATGCTTAAAGGTCAGCAAGGGAGTGTGTACGTTAGCTGCTAGTAGGTCGAGTAGACCTTTGAGATTCAAATAAAAATTCTTACCTCTAATGTTTTTAATTTCTTCTTTAATGATTGCCCGAAATTTGGATAGCATCTTAGAAGCTGATAATACTTCATTTTCTAAAAACCCACTCAGAGGATTTCCTTTAGGATTTCTTTTGAGTTTCACTAAGTAATGAGTACCACTGTCACAATATTCTTCTAGCTGAATTCTGGGCATTTTCAGTGTGAACATAACATCAAATTCATTAGGAGCAGAAATCTAAGATAAAGAATAAATGACACTGAAACATATACTTGTGAACATTTTCCAAGCTACCAAAACATTCACCTTGAAATTTCTACCTAAACTCTATTAATACTTAGTAGAAATACAAAAATGCTATTGATTTTAGTTTTAGGTTCTAAACCCATTGATTTTTACCACAAGTTTGCATTTAATAACTAAAAAAATAAATAATATCATGTGAGCCACTGGATAAAACTACTAATGTTAAGTGATTTCTATATAATCTTTTCACTCAGTCCAAACTCTACAGCTAGCAAGTGCTTTAACACCTGTTTTCACCTAGAACTTAAAATATTACAATGAAATATATGAATGAGAAAAAATAATATGAATGAGAAATGTGTGAATATGGAATCACATAATAAACTCCTAAGAAGTTTATTTTGACTAACCTTTTACCAAAAGCCTCAAATCCAATTTTATTTATTTTGAAGACACCAATATGTTTTTATTTCTATTGACATAGTATAGTAGAAATTAAAGCTGAGAAAACATATATTAATTTGTTAAAGACAGCATTGGTCTGTCATATGTAAACATAAAGACCATTTATGGAAAAGAACCATTTCTAAAAAACTAATATCAAGAAAAGTGGTATTTTGTGAAAATATGTAATTTTTTGCTTAAGAGAAAACACTAGGTTCTCATTATTACATCTATTTCTGCACTCAATATCTTGTAATACATTGAGATTCTGTTCTCATACCAAGTGGTAGATAGAAAATACAGGGGTATCATAGTATATTTTTCAGATGATTGTTGTTCTCCTTTGTTACTATCCTGGAACCTAACAGTGATAGTATTTGAAAGGTTAGCTGCAATGGGGAATCCAAACCATACCAAATAAATGTTCACTTTCTTTTACATTCAAATCTATTGGTCTATCTTTAACTCTGACATGGTCTTTACCCATGTCAGTATATAGAAGCTGTATACTGGAAAATATTATTCATTAAATAATTCTAATCTCTCAAATGTTGATATATTCAATACCACTAGTGATTCCATCAGAACAAACTTAAGTCAGAATCTATTAGGCCCAATGTTTTAATTTTCTTTTACCCTAAGGACTAAGGATAATGAGGTTTTTGGTTTTTTGTTTTGTTTTGTTTTTTTAACTAAGGTGACACTGATTTGTACCACTGTGTGTGATCCAGAAGCTTTGGCTCCCACCTCCTCAAGTCTATGCTACCACACCACACAAAGGCATTCACAGGCCTCCACCATAATCCATTGCCCCACTTCCTCCCATCCTCTCTCCACTGGGCAGCTCCAGTTTTATCTAAGTCAGCAGACCACTCCTGTCACGCCCACTGCTCCCCTCAGCAGTGGACTTCATGAATCTGCCTGTTCTGCTCCCTGCTCTGCCGCTGGTGAATCCTCTCACTCCCTGCACCTGTGGCCCACACCTCTGGCCTGTTGTACCCCAGCTCTTGTATGATAAATAAACTATTTTTAAAAAAGTAAAACAAACTCAATAGGAGTTGGTTTGCGTGAATGCATCTCACACTGGAAATTCCCCAGCAGCAGTGTCTTGACAGAAGTGACAATCAATATTGGCTGGCTGGTTGTTGGATGAACATATTTTCGTCCAACATAAAAGTAAAGCTGAAAGTTTGTGGCGTGCATAGTGGAATAAAGGAACGAACAAATGTCGAAGTGTTGTTACAGGTCACAAGGGACCAAGAGTCTGAGTTACTCAGGAAAGTGAGGCACCGTGAACTGTGGGTCACGGAGAGACAGGCTTTGGGAACAGCGGGCCGGTGCTGGACAGCTCACCTTCACGTGCTCGTAGTAGCTCCCGGTGGACAGCCGCTCCACCCCTTTGAACTCAGACTCGTGGCTCTGCATTCTCTGCAGCAGGTGGTCCACGACCCTATTCACGACCACGGCTGCCGCTGAGATTTCCTGGCGGTTCAGCTTCAACTTCTCCAGAACCGACCGGAGCTTCCAGCTCCCAACCGCCGCCTCCCTCCCGCCGAGAGCCGGAGCTGAGATCTGAGGGTCGATCGTGGGGACCCGGGTGGGCCCAGGCGGGGATCTCGGTTCCCGAACCGAGGAGCGCGCGCTTCCCCTGCTGCGAGAGCTGCCTGCCGGAAGGGCCGGCTCCCCGACGCCTGCAGGTTCTAGCCCCTCCGCGGAGACAGCCGGCCCGTCGATCTCTACCGCGCGGGGAGCTCCCGGGCACTGAACGTCCTGGGAGCACAGAGACGCCCTTTTGGCACCCGTGTCCCGCGCACTTACTCGTCGACCATTCTCGGAGGCCTGAGCGCCCTTCTTCCGCTGGGATCCAGACTCCCTCGTCGGGTCGCAGGTCTGTGCTCTGAAGACGGTGCCGGGAGCTCCCGGGGACTGAGGGTCCTGGAAGCGCAGAGGGGCTTTTTTGGCACCAGCACCCCGCGCGCTTACTCGCCGACCAGTGTGGGGGTGCTGGGCGCCCTTCTTCGGCAGGGATTCAGACTCCCCAGTCGGGTCGCAGGTCGGAGCATCGAGCCCTGAGGCCCCAGGGGTGGCCGGAGACTCGGGGGGCTTGGCCTGGGAGTCCGTCGCACCTAGCCCGTAAGTTTTCCGGGCGGCGGCTCTGGCTTTCGAACTTTTCGAAGCTGCCTGGTCCACCTTTCCGCGACGTGGGTCCATGGCTGGCGCTCACGGTTTTCCCGGAAGGAGACTCGCTTTCGGAAAGGCAGCGGGAGAGAGAGCTGAGATCCGGGCTCGGAAATTAAAAATCTGGCGGGAATGCCGCGATCGCCCCCCCGGGACTACCCAATCCGTGTGGTCAACGGGGCACGCCCCGCCGCCCAGGCCCGCAGCCCTTAGGCAGTGGCTGATTTTCTCACCCTTCCGTGTGGGCGTCACAAAGGATTGGGAAACACACAAAAGTGAAACCTAGAAAAGCAGAAAATACTTTGGCGAGCTTTGATAACCAGATGCTTTTGGTGGTGCACCACCTGAAAGAATTTTGGAAAGAGCTGCATGCCTTCTCGAACATGGAAGTTGACTGAGAAATTTTTCCCATTAAGTTTAAATGAAAGTCTTTTAGAATTAATGGGAAGTAGAAAATATTCAACTTTTTTTTTAGATTTATTTATTTATTCATACAGAACTGGGGTACAGGCCAGAGATGTGGAGGGTGAGAGGATTCACCAGGGACAGAGTGGGGAGCAGAACAGGC